CAAGTATACATTTTAGACTGGTGTAATCTCATTCATCTGGTAATTGGAAAATTTTGTCACGTATGAAACGTTTCGCGACAACGGAAACAAATCTTATAGATAGAGTACGTAGACACATTACTGCAAACTGCCAATAGTAACGACGCAACGAGGAGACAAGCAACCGCGCGTAAACATATTCGTCCACGTACGATAGGTACGCGTGCACACAAAACGACCAAGCAAGCGGCCGGGCAGGCAAGCAGGCAAGCAAGCAAGCAGGCAGCAGGCGGGCAAGCAAGCAAGCATGGAAGGCATGACGGAAAAAGCAGAATGACAGTTGGTAATTATAACGAGGAACGGATTCCGTGGGGCAAGTCTGGTGAACCCCGTAGAAGTAACGAAGTCCGCGCCGTGGCGCGCCACCACGTGCCCGACCAGATAGCTGGTTCGCTGACTGCGTGTTGGCTCGGTCGCCACGCGCTGTAGCATCATAGATGATGGCGTCCCACGATATAATTTTCAATCTACTAGAAATACGAGACTTGGTCCAAAAACTATACATGAAACGAATTGAAATCGTGGAATTTCGGACACCATCGAATATTACAAATGCAAGGATTGTTCAATCAATTTGCACTTACCGACGCGATGGTCCATAGCGATGAAATCAAAGTAAGCGTTATATACGCGCGGTGTAGTAATATCCTCGTGGATCAAATAAGTACGTTTACTCGATACTTGGTCAACTGTCAAACAGAAAAGAACTTGTTAAAGGGACTAAAAAAATATACTGTCCGACCGCGATTAAAAATCACCCGGCACGTGTGGCAATCAAACGACTCAAACGAACTAATTGCTTTTTTCGTTCAAAACAAATGTAAAAATGATACGAAATTGAATCGACAGTACGTGCTACAGAATCTTATACGAACAGGATGGAAGAATTGCACGATCACGAAATTTGCAACGTTCGCGGTAAAGAAACTAACCAATTCGATTTTTACTGTTTACGATGTTCAGATGTATGGTCGATGAATGAACAGCTACACTAAAAGATACAACACTGTGTCCACATCGTTCGTTGTATAGTTATCACACGGTGAGACTTCGCGGCTTCTTTTCCTTGTCGCGTTTTCTTCGCAGACTCAGTGATCTGTCGTTCGACAACTCACCGGCGTGTCTCCCCGAAGTTTTCCTGTGTTTCGTTCACTCGCGCTGTGTTTTTCCACCCAAATTGCTTCCCGTTATAACTAATTTCTCGATATTTATGACAGATAAACACTACGAATGCGGCGGGTTCTCGTGTCGTGTGCGCCAGCGTCAGTAAGATTGACAGTCGGCGCTGATGACAGACAGGTGCGCCCGCCTTCCGGCCTAACAAGTCGGCAACCTACCGTCGTGCTAGCGTATCTTTTTCTGTCGCTAGCATACTCGTCTGCCCGCCAAGCCACTTCCTACGGTATACTATTCTCTCCTCCATTTAACATACTACTCCTGCCATCTACCGCTGTTTGTTTTAATTGCACTTTCCATTCGTACTTATAGAGAATTACATTAAAGAACCAGAAAAGCTACAAATTTTTTTACATAAATTCAACTTTAACGCGTAACGACGAAATTCAGGGACAAGGAAAAAAAATAAAAGAGACAAATGTGTTTCGTTTTGCTGTCTTGCTTCGTATTACATTTCCTAACCATACATTTTAATGTCATTCGTGTCAATAATATTTGACAGATGTATGTAACAACCTACATTACGCTTTGCCGTTTTTGCAAATTTATTTAACTTACAAGACGTATTATACTATGGACTGTTTTACATTTAGAGATAAATTTTGAATGAATAATTTAAAGCAGATCCAAGCGATCAATTGGCATATAATCTCTTTCTCCTTTCTTCATTTGCTCCCTGCGTACTGCTTGTATCATTTGTATTCGTTTTTGTCGTTTTGTACGATACAAGCATTCCTTTAAATCAAGGACCAGCAGATTGCATTTTTCCTCTCCCTTCTTAAATCCATAAGCTTCCACGCAATCTGCAAGTCGTAACTCAAAATTTTTGCAGACTGGATGAGTTTGTGCATTGTACGCAGCATTCAAGTCATTGAAGATACGATTTCTCAAAGGGTTTATTGTGCAATAGGTTGTCATTCTGAAAAGTATAAATTGACAATCTTAATAAAAGTATAATAAGACAAGTAAACACTAAACACATGAAAGATTATATAGGAATATATTAAACATTCAATCAATCTAATCTTACATAAAGTGGTTATTTGGTTTCGAAGAAACGGCACAATCCCTTCTCAACGAAAGTTATGTAACACTGTATACCAATATACACTACTGTACACCACTGTACACCACTGTACACTACTGATATCAGATGCTGTCAGATGCTGGATTATCATAGCATATACATATAATAGACTGTGCGGTCTTATGGTAGGGATGAAGAGAGATCGAAGGTCAGAAGTAGCGCTGGAGTAGCTCCGCTCTTGCTCCCACATCGTAGAGGGAGGGGAGAAAGCAACTAGAGGGCGATGAGGAGACGGAATCTGCACGCATGAAATTCTCCAATAACCGTAGGAGAATCCCCCACCAACAGCCCCATTAGAAAGAAAGAAAAGCTACTCCAGTTATTGTCCTCTCTCTCTAGTGCTAACTTCATCCTTACCATAAGACCGTGCAGTCTATTCTACATGTCTATGAGAATCATTATAAAAAATATAGAAAAAACCACGCAATTTGCGATTAAATATATTCTCTGTATAATCTTTTTATATGGAATAGTAAATGTGACCACAAATACATGTGGCACAATCTACGACGAAAATGTTCAAGCTGCAATGCTATAATGCAATCGGTATTCTGATCTTCTCATTATATAATATCTAAATGGCGCTACATCAAAGACATAGAAGATTGTCAGTTATGTTTACTACTCATTTCTCTCGCAATAAAATACATCGCTTTTACCCTCAAACGTTCAAACGCGTAAATTTGGTTCCTTGTTCGAGTACAGAAATAAATGTTAATTAAACCGAAGGTGGTTCTCTCATGTAAATGTGGCATAAGTTTTTTGTAGTAAGTGGTGGGGCCTCTTCCTCGACGCTGTTTTTCTTCCAATGGAAGCCGAGTTTGCTATTGAGTTATCATGGTATACCCTGGCTGTACCTTCGCGAACAAATTGACTTCCACTAGGGGAAAAAAGTGACATAGGGAAAGGACCTCCTATCGCTGGGTAAATTTAATTCAAGTACGGAAATAAATGTTAAATTAAATGTTAATTTGACATAAATTTCAACAATTCCGGAGACCAAGTGATAGAAGGCCTTTCTCCTACACTGCTTTTTCCCCTAGCGGAAACCGAATTTGCTCGCGAGGGTATATTACCTATTTATCGACGATCAATGATGTATATGGACTATCAGAGATGTCTCTTCATTCGATGACCAGAGAGGAATCGAGGAAGGAAAAAAGGTCAGGAAGGAAGGGTTTAGGTCGAGACGAAACGGATGTGGTCCGTTGTGACGTCTGACTATCGAAATAATTGTATATCCCTCTTTAAAGTGTTCTCAGAATAGGAGTTGTTGCATAAACATCGCATGTTTTTATGCGCGATTCCTCGTCGAAGCATCGTTGGATTGACAACAGCATATTCACCCTTGCAAAACAATGGCGACTTTCCATAAGAAGCACCTTCATTCATCCAATGTAACTATAAACGCCGTATTTTTCGATCTGGACAACACTCTCATCGAGACTAGGAAAGGCGACAATCAAGCATGTCGAAAGGTATGCTAATATATTTACAGTAATATCATGTATTAAAACGGTCAGTATTGCCGAGGATACTAGAAATATGCGCGTGATGTGTTCTTCCCGTAAGGTGCGCGAAATCAGTCTTCGGTTCGATATCAGAAAAACGTAAAAGCTCGCACTCGTGTCGACAATAATTGATTTAATTATTTCGTCTACATTTTGCTTATCGTTTTTCCTATATTTTAAAAAAGTTTTGTACTGGTTATGTTCCCATATACTCTCTCATTTCCATTTGGACATCGACGACACATGAGAAGTACATACCAGTACCTAAAATTGGTGCTTGTCGGTAATGTTGGGTACGTCATGAAAAAGGTATGGGGGCTTCAGAAGCCCTCCTATCGACAGTGACACAAAAATATAGTACATGATCGGTCTATCTTATACCTCGTCTGTGGTTTGGATATGAAGTTCGTCCGAAAATAGAAGCCTCTGTGTAACACGAGCCGGCTCCCTGATATAGAGCTTTCTCTCGGGCGGTTATTTTTAACCGACCCTACTGGTACTGTCCAGACGCTCGATGCAACGTAGAAAAAGCGAACAAGCACGTTACTGAAGGTTTTCACGATCTTAAGATACCAGTTCAAGCGTACTGTGTGCATTTACACTTAAAACATTCGCGTACTGTGTGTGCGTTATATTAGGGAAAGGTTATATTATGCTCGTATCGTACTGAAAAAACTAACAATTGCAAAATCATTTTTTTCGTCAAACATTAATATAAACAGTCTGTAGTAGTATTCCTCTTGTAATGAACAGTATGGTCTAATTAACCAGTGGTACATATTACACATTTGTAATAAAAGTAAGGTACCGCACAACGTCATTAACCTTACATTGGCAGTAATCCATTGGATGGTAATGTACTCATGTTTGTGGAATAACGTTCGTGGTGGTATAACTTTATTTTTGTCCTGCTAAGTGAGTGTGTCAAAGGGCAAGGCTAGTTTCAAGGGGTTTGCTCTGGGAGTACTGCCAGTTGGCTTTTAGCTGTGTCATGTGAAAGATGCAATCCTTGGTGATATCTTGTTGAACACCTCATAAATAATTATCCGTCTAACCAAGAACCTGTGAACCAAAAAGCTTTGTTTGAATTATTGTTACTACAAACGAAAAGCAAGTTTTCGAAAATATTTTACAAACATAAAATAGAGACATTTAATAACATACATTGTAACAAATAAATCGTAACAATGAGCATCCCAGAGAGTGTGAAGAAGTGTGCAGCTATATTAAAATCTGTGGAAAATGATTCAGAAAAATTCGCTGCCTTATTTATGGTTACAAAATTGGTGGATAACAAGAATTGTACACCGGAGGATAAAAAGATATTATTTGAAGCCATTGGGTCAAAATTTCTAAAAAAGTTATTATCCACTCAAACAGTTCCTGTGGATTGTCCTCCACAAGTTTACAAGTCAGTAGCACTGTCTATACTTTCGGCATTTTGTGGAGAACCAGAACTAGCTTCTCATTCTGATATGATTGCTCATGTCCCAGCATTGCTTGAAATTGTGTCCCAAGTTGACGAAGATGCAGCTGATGACATGTTAATTATTGTTAGTGAGGCTTTTGCTTGCTTACAAAGTATTGCACAATATCCACCAGGGCAAAAAGCTTTAATTGAACAAAAAGCAATATCAAAAATGTGTGACATTTACTCAGAAAAGAGTTTTCAAACAGATCAAGCGTTAAATATTTTAGTTATGTTAGTTGGAAGATCTGGTTCAGATGCTTGGGATGCAACAGACAATGCACCCTTTCATGCTATCATAAATAAAATTGCATTAGACTTTGAAACTGATCACACAGAGAGAAAATTTGAATTGTGCACAATTTTACAAGCTTTATTGATGTCCTGTAGAAGGGACGTCATTTTTGAAACTTCTAAAGAGGAATCTTGGCCGTTTAGTATTCATAAAGCTCTATCAGATATTCTTGGATCAAAAATTGGTAAATGTCAACGTGATCCAGCATTGAAGCTTGCTTCTGTGATGATGGACCTATTGGGGGCTGAATGGACATTGTCGGATAAAGAAAAACCAAAAGTATTTTTCTTATTATTAATTCAATTAGCATCCATAGAAGTTAGAATGCAATTAGAAGGCAAACAACTCAAAACTGTTATGGCGAATGTTGATTTGATCACATCTTGCTTTATTATACTTGAAATTTCCCTTACCTACATTATTACTGACCAACTAGACTTGGAGGAGAAAGAAAAGCAGTCTCTGTACACGGCACTAAAAGGAGCATTTGCTGCAATTATAGGCCTACTCACAGCAGTCTCTAAAATGAAAGACTTAACAGATATTAAAGAAAGAGTATTTATCTGTGCTGTGGTAAGAGTATTGGCAGCTTGGTTAGCCCAAGAAACAAAAGCTATGCGTCCTCAAGTTTATGCAGTATTGCCTTACATTCTAACAGTAGCCAATGATACCTTTTATGCTTATCGAAACAGAAAATTGGCAGAGAAAGCTAAAACAAATTCTAAACCAAAATCCGATGAAGGAACATCATCTGGAGAACCAGTTGTTCATGATCCTTTAAGCGAAGTTGATGTATTGAGATTGTTATTACCAGCTTTGTGTTATTTGGCTGTTGAGGAGGATGCTAGAAAGATTTTACTTAAATATAAACAGGAAGAAGTTTTATTTGAATGTTTATCTTATCATTGGACAATCATTCATTATAAAAAACCACCAGTCCCAAGGTCAGAAAGATTGAAGGCATTAAAAGAAGCAGAAAAAGGAGAAGATTTGGAGCTCTATGCTTCAGAAGCAATGAAAGATTCAAGAACAGCTATGGTTTCTGTTTGTAATGTTCTAATGAACATTACTGTCTTAGAACCAAAGCTAGTGGAAGAGTCGCCAACATTTGTTTCGTTATTGAAATTTATTTTTAATAATCTCCCAGAACTTAAACAAATCCCAGAAAATTTGGTTCTGCATGGGCATTTAGCAGTTTTAGGATTATTATTGTTGAAACAGCAGGCAAAACGTGTAAAGAAAAATGATTTTTCCATATGTCGGTATATTCAAGCTACAATAAGATTCTTGTGGGATGCATACATAATTGATGAGAGTAATGATCCAACAGAACTTGTTGTTTCTATTCTATATAAAGAACGATGGATGGAACTTATGGAGCTGTGGTTTCTTGGAATGCAAACAATGGCTGGAGTTTTAAAAGTAGTACCTTGGCTTTCACAGTTTACCCTTGAATCAGGGTGGGCTGAAGAAATTATTGAAATTCTTAAGAAAGTAAAAATAGGAAGCCTTCAACCAAATGTTAAGTCTGCCTTCGAAGACCTTTTGTGTCATTTAGTTAAAGCAGATCAAAATGTTTCTTCTGTCCTGAAGAAATGTGGAGCTTTAACTGTTTGTAGAAATCATCGTATGATGGAACTTGGGAAACATCTTTTTGGAGATTAAAAGTAGTGTGAAGACAGAAGTACAATTTGTGTTTTAATAAAAAATACCAAATTCATTTACATGATTTCATGCTATTCAATATTTTTTTCGAATTCAAGTGTATTTATAGATACATTTCTTGATAATTCTATTTTGCCGAACGTATATATGTTTTCTAGTAATGTCTTCTATTTACAATTTTATGAAACTGTACACAGTAAGAATCCAAATATAAATTTAGGTGGCAATCATATCTAGAAATAGTTTCCTGGCAAGCAAATGACTTAATGAATATCTGTATGGATCAAATAGTTTGTAATGCTTTACATATTGAAATATATTTAAATTCTAAATATTTTTACATTTTGTATTAAAATATAAAATGATAGGCTACTAAAAATTTTTACAAACTAGATTTGTATTTACAGTTGCTGTACTTTCAGAATGTATATACTTAAAATAAATGTTCATGTATATTGAAATGTTTTGTAACATAACAAATTGTTTTCTTATTAAATTAAATTGTTTTGTAAAGTATTTTCTCTTTTAAATTATTATCCCTCCAGTATTAAAGAATTCAATGATTGCAGCAAATGAAATTGTTGAAGCGTGTCAAAATTATATTTAATATTAGTATATTCAATTTATGACATAGGATCTGCAGTAATAAATATAATTGTTAACATCCTAGAATCTTTGACTAAGGCTTTTATGGTTGGAGTACTATAAGTTTGTTGTTGGCACAACTGATTTTGTTGTGATTACAGCAACGACCGCGGGTGCCACTTCGAGTGTCCACTAATCGGCTCCACTATTTCAATGAATCAATGCATTTTCTAGGTAATCATCAAAAAATGAATTAAGTGACCTAAACTCCTAACTGATCGTTTATATCCTCTTTTCCCAAAACTGTAGTTAAGTCATTAAACTCCACATTCAATATTTGTTCTTTTTATCATTAAGTACCACATCTTTCTGATTGATTTTATTAACACAACTCAGTTTTCCAATCATTTAGATTCATTACTGTACACTGTATTGAATGTGTTAGAAAGTGCCCTGACAATGTGATTTACTCATTGGATGCTTGGCGTACAAGTTTATGGAGTAAAGTGCTCGGAGAAAAATACTCATACTTAGCTCAAAGAATTTATGAACGATGGTTGTGTCTACGATATTATTATTTAGCACTGTCATCAGATGTAATTTCCATGCTAAAACAGTTGAGGATAAAATACTTCCTAGGTTTGATTACAAATGGCCCTTCAAATGCACAATGGGAAAAGATACGCAAACTTTCATTAGAACAGTACTTTCATGTTATCTTGGTATCTGGAGATTTACCATGTGAAAAGCCGGAAAGAGAAATATTTAAAAAAGCATGTCGATTTTTAAACATTAAACCAGAAAAATGCTTAATGGTTGGCGATAAATTGGAAACTGATATTCTAGGTACTTTATTTTTATTAAATAGCCTTTGTTCCCAGGGATATTGAAGATTTTAAAACTACAATTTATGTCGGGAGAAATTTCACTTAGTTAAAGAATGTATTATTTTCACACAGGTGGGATAAAAGCTGGCTTCGGAGGTACAGTTTGGATTCCAATCTCGGATAAACCACGTTTGCTAAAAGAAGATCCCCAACCAGATTTTACTATATGCCATATAACAGATCTTTTAAATGTTTTAAATAGAGGTCCTGGTGCTCCAGAACTTGAAGATACTTCTTCAAACGCATCAGATGGTAGCTGATGTGGAAACAAAGAAATTTATTTCTTAATTTTTCATAAAATATCATAGTTATTAGGAATGAAATTTTTTGTTACAAAACCTTTTTCGTTTCACTGATAACATCGAAACGATTCCTCGCAACTAAGTACTATTGTTTATTATAGTCAACTATAATAACATAATTTATTACGTACGGTTATGAAAACAATTCAGACACATTTTTTTTTTTAGAAAATGTCTGCTTATTTTGGTATTAAGTAGAAAGAAGTAGAAGTATGGACTGCTAGATAACAAATGATTAGTAATATTATATATAAAGAAAAGGGGCAATATCAATTTTGACATATTTTGTTCTTCTTTTTTTTATGTTTTGCTACCAAGACAACCAGTTGAAGTTTTTAATTTTTGCTATTATTTATGTAAAATTATAATTTCAATTTTATAGGGACAAGTAAGAATTTTTTCTTTGTCCTTTCTTCAGTACTTGTTACTTAATTCAGTATATAATACTTTTTTTGTTTCCTTTTTTTTTTACATGTAGCGTATATAAAATAATTACGGGTTTGAGTCACAAATATGTATGATAACTATTTATAGGTGAAAAAAAGTACAACTTACGTACAAAGTGTATAAACACATTTGGATCTATATAGAAATAAGGAAAGGATGATGTACGGTTAACGAAAGATAACTGTTTCAGTTTTATATAAAATATGTAATTTTATGTAATATATGATCCGTGCACTAAACATAATAGCGTCTGTACATTGTCTGAAGCGATTGTATTATTGAAAACGTGTAAATATACGTTTGTAATTATAATATATACGTTTAATATATAGATGGTATATATTGTATAAATAGATCACGTATGTATTATAATTATCCGTGTGTATCTACAGTATGTATTTTTTCACTACATATTTTGTCTTTGTCGATACTGTAATGTACAAACACGATAAAAATATGACGATGTAAAAACAATGAAAAGACTTATTTCTATTAATAAAGAGGTATAATGAATAAAGTTAATAATTTCATAAATTAACATGTGTAGTAGGCTGCCCACGAAACTCAAACTTTTAATCAAATACTTTTTTATGAGCTTTAATTATTTTTAATGATTTTATATTACGCAACTAATATGTTTTAAATTCGGACGACTGTATCGCCTTGCAGTATCAGATCATGTGTCGTAAAACTTTATTCCCGTTCTTCAACGTTGTGTGAATCGATGTATTCTGTTAAACTTGGTTGAGGCGTATTATTTGCACTATTAGTTATATCGTCATCGCTCGATCGTTTTGTTCTCGACGGTATCTGAAAGATACCAAAGGCAATAAAATTGTTTTACTAATGAAGAATAATTACGATAAAAATGAAAACTATTTCTTGCCAATATTTCAATTAACGTACTGAAGTCGTGTGAATTATATCTTTGCTTTTGATAGAAAGTTTTTTATAAATCTGTTGAGCTTGTACAGGACCGATATTAGATTCTATCAACGATGTAAGTACATCTCTCTCGGTTAGAACTAGTTCCGGATTTGCATCAACTAATACAACCGATTTAATGCTACTATGTCTGCAGCGTCGTTTTCCAGTTTGGATTGATTTTAACTTGTCTACGACTTCATTTTCGTTTAAATTTTTCGGTGGTGTCGGCGGTCGAGGTTTTTCATGATTATATAATCGTTGATTCAGAACAAGATCATCGAATTCCTCGTCATCTGAGTCCTCAGACATATTTAAAGCGAGTTTCAATTGATAGATTTCATACATCATTTTATTCTGTTCGGGGATAGGTAATACGTTACTTTGACATTATATTCGATCAAATTTCAAATTGGATAATAAAAATTCAAGTGTAATTCGGACCATATTCAGAAATTCTTTATTTCTTTCCAAGTGTTTCTTAAACACATCTCGCAACTGTTCATCTGTATACAAACCGCTGTGTAGTATTTCCCGGGTAATTTCATACACAAAATTGATATATTTCGCTTCATCCTCTTTTACGTGTGATTTCTGATTGCACGTCACGTCTGTGGATACTTGATCGATTTCGAAACTCTCGTTGCGTCTTGGCGAATTTACCGCCATCGAGGAACGATCGATTTCTTGCATTTGAAAGTCGGAAACGGTTTTGTAAAGCATTGAATCTTTCTCGTACCTACATTGTCAGGTATTTTTGAGTTTAGATAACCAGGTAAGGGGCATATACCTGTATTAATTAAGATTCAATGAACTCGAAAAATATTTATCGGAAAAATTTTTATTCACCTGTGTTGCGACATGTCTTGATGCTTAAACGTGGTATTCGTCGTTTGTTGATTTATTTCACCATCGTTAGATGTAAACGTTTCTATTTTATTCACTTTAAATGCCGACGATCTCGCAGAAATTATATCATTGTGCAGTTTTGACTGTGAACAAATCACATCGTAATCATAACAGTCAGGAAAATATTGTTGGTCCTCACAGTGGTATAGATATCTTGGGTCGTAAATCATTCGTAGAACATCCTATTTATTAATTAAAATACTCATTACACCTTGTACCGTAATTGTTTAACGTTCCCAAAGACAAAAAAACCTGTATTCTTTTTTTCAAAATCAACTTCAGGTTTTGCCTAAGTCCTTTTTAATAATAATAAAGAAAGTGATATTAATCCTAAGTTTACTTTAGAAATTGTGCAGCAATATGTTTAATAGAATACTTAGTTAGATACATTGAAATAAAATTTGTATTGAATTTGGTTGCAAGATGTTGCATGAGTAATTTACCACTGGATGATGCAGAGTATCGTATGCTAATCGATTGATTACGTCATTCCTAATCCCTGTTTTCGTAAATCGTGGTTTGCAATTGACTTGTTTGCAAAATTGTTTTCCTTTGCTTGTATAGTTTTTGTTTCTTGCGTCGATAGCAGATTTCGCCAGTAAAACGCGTCGTAAGTGTGAACTCATCGAATTGTATGCCGTCAATTGCTCGAAATAGTTTTGCCCACTATGATTATACGCTGAATTGAAAATTTTAATACTGGTTATTATTAATTTACTGATTTTTCTATGGTACTTAAAATATAAAATAGTGAAAGAATGCTATCACATCATTCATACCAGTACTTTTGAGATTAGTTTCACTCCTATTGCATTTCGTCATAATGGCAGATTGTTTCACTATTTACAATTGCAATATTTTTACTTTATTTCATACTAGATCTAAGTATATGGAACTGAAAACTATTATTGTATACACTTAAAATTTTGAGCAGTAATCACTTATAGGTTTTGTCTTAAATCTGTCTGACAACCATATATACCTTGCGTTACAGTGAATATATGCATCCCCTGAAAATTGTTTTACTATCTGTTGCTAAGCAACACACACGAGTTATGCATTTTATGAATAAAAAATCTTGTCACAAAAAATGTATAGATTTGTAAAACTATTCTACTTAGCAGAAATGTTTATTTTATACTGACGTGTATATGTATAAATGATCGATCTACATCATAGGATTCTGTATATTGATTTTGCATAACATTAAGTCCGTATAACTATCACCTTCAGTTAATTAGTAAATAATAATAATGTTTAATAGTTAATAATTATTGTAATTAATAATAATAACATTGTACATACATACGTACATATAAATATTTCATATCATTTACACTCGGTAATTAAATTTACATATTAAATTTTTTTAGTTTTAATACTGTTTGCATTTTGCTTAAGACAGTATATAAGTACCTATATTTATATAGTTTGCATGTATAGATTATAATTCTGCAATGTATTCGTTTTTATACGTATTTAATATGTACCTTTAATAAAAATATATGATCGGTGGAATGATACCATTAAAAGATTACATCGTCTGTTTTAGGTAACGCGTTCTAATGAGGTTTATCAATTTTTTAACAACTGTTGTGGGTTTGCTTAATCTAAATGATTCAGGGGTGATACGATGGTCAAAAATGTTGGTGATATAACCTAAATCGACATATGCAATAAGTTGTAGATAGTGAAACGTTATGTAGGTAAAAAACATTCCATTAAAATGAATTATGTTTATGAGGAGCTGACCATTAAAGATGTAGCAAACTGGATTGCTTCTGGAGCAATTATATTTGGTGGAATTATTCCATATGTACCTCAGTATAGAGAAATTAAAAAAAGAGAAGATGCTGAAGGATTTTCTCTTTATGTATGCCTTGCACTCTTAATAGCTAATACATTACGTATTTTCTTTTGGTTTGTATCTTTGTTTCAAACAGAGTGCTGTTTCTATTATTGATAGTAATAATATAACTGACTCATTTATATTTTTTATAGGTTTGGGAAGCATTATGAAGTGCCCCTTTTAATGCAAAGTATCTTCATGATCATTACTATGTTTATCATGATTAAACTTTGCATTAGTGTACAAAACAGGAACCAAATAATAAAAGCCAGAGAACGTGTATTTGCTGGTAAGTTCTTTTAATTACAGGACCAATAAAAGGTTTTGATTTCTAATTTTTCTTTCACCCAATTATTTCTAATCTGTTTATTCAACATAAATTAATATCCTTTTGTATTTATGGACTATTTTAAAAACTTAATTTAAATAGATTTAGACGCAAATTTTTTTTGGAAATGGACAGACTTTCAATCATATTTGGACTTCATGCTGTTATTTGCTGCACTAGTAGGAGTTCTAACATATCTCTTAGTAGATATACCAATATTTGTTGAAACTATGGGATTGCTTGCAGTATTAACAGAAGCTATGCTAGGAGTACCACAATTTCTTAGAAATTTTTTAAATAAATCGACTAGTGGCATGAGGTATGTACATATTAATTTTAGTAATAAGAAATAGTTAATTGAATAATTGTGCTTATTAATATTCTACTTTCATTCTAGTATAATCATGGTGGCCATGTGGACATTAGGTGATGCATTTAAAACATGTTATTTCATTATAAGAGAAGCTCCCATTCAATTTGAAGTCTGTGGTACTCTTCAAGTTATAATTGACATTGCAATTTTAGCACAAGTATACATTTACCAAAATAATACAGGTGTACATACACGAGTTCCAGTGAGAGCTGACTAAGCATGAAACTTCATATCCATTAATATTCTTTGTACAGTTTCTATTAACTAAGACATTTTATCTATATTATTCAACAATATTTATTTTTCTTTACATACATTTATACAGAACATAACGGAAATGCACAATCTATTACAAATGATTGAATAATAATGTATCAAAATATTTTTCAATTTTACGTGGAAGATAAATGTAAAACATATTTTTTTAATTATATTAAACTTTCTATACATTTTAATTGTACAATATGTGTATAAACTTTTCTAAATAAAATTTTTTAATACTACAGGTAGAACTTTACATAAGAAATAAATAGTATTTTATTGTTTTGTAATTCGATATATACTTTCTATTCCAACATAAATATTCTTGTACATTTGTATTACAATTTTTATATAATTCTGACTAAATAACTGAAATGAATAATAAATGCGAATCGACATAATAATAACTGCAAGTTGCTGCGAGTGGAGACGGAAGGAAGTAGATGTGTACCAATGTGTACCAATCTGTACCCTCGCGAGTAAACTCGGCTTCTACTAGGGGAAAAAGTGACGTCCAGGGCCCCTACCACTTGGTAAATTAATTTTAAGTATTGAAACAAATGTTAAACCGAATGTTAATTTGTCATAAATTTCAGTAATTCCTAATACCAAATGGTAGGAGCCTGGTAGGAGCCCTTTCCCCTACGACTAATAATTAGACATTTACATTCAGGTTCATGTGTATTATTTGAGAACACATGTCAAATCATCGCCAGAGACTAAAACCAACTAAAACGTAGGAACTTTAAGATCTAAGCTATGTATCTATCTTTTTGTAACCTCTTTACATCGATTGGCTGCTATTCCCAGTATTTGAGTTACAGATTCTTTGAACGTCTTTAGAGAAATATACTGAAATCAATTTTCATGTTGTATTAGAATTTGCAAACTTTCAATAAAAGTGGTAATCTTAACGTAACGATTCGCATTTATTATTTATTTCAGCTACCTAGTCAGAAGATTTTGAACAGTATTTTAAATTATATCGTCTACGATCACAGGTACTGATTTGCATTTACTGCTAATGAAAATATTGACATTGCACTTTATTTACAATCAAACATTTATTTCACTGTACGCAGTAAGTGTGTATATAAATACATACTATTTATGTACTTTCCGCATATGCAATTGTGTCTTGTTCGTAGTTTGTTAGAACTAGTTCTAATAAAGTTAATTTAAATAAGATCGATTCGTCTTACTGCTCTGAATATTTCTATAACAATTAAGTTTAATAACTTTCTTTTATCGAAAGATTTTAAACGTTGTAATGGGAGAGAGTCATCGGAAAGATTGGAGGCCTTTTATTTATGGAGGTTTAGCTTCAATTATTGCCGAATTAGGTATCTACTATTAAATTATATACGACAGAATACTTCATGGTAATTTTATTTATTGTGTTCATAAAATCTCTACTTGTTAGGCACTTTTCCTTTGGACACAACAAAGACTCGTTTGCAAATTCAAGGACAGAAATTAGATAAAAGACACGCTCATTTGAAATATTCTGGTATGACAGATGCTCTTGTACAAATATCAAAACAAGAAGGGTTTAAAGCTTTGTACTCTGGGTAAGTGTGTTTTAAGAATCATGAAGGTTTGTTTAACATTAAATATAATATAATTTTATTAAACAGTATCAGTTCAGCTATTCTAAGACAAGCTACTTATGGAACTATAAAATTTGGCACCTATTATTCATTGAAACAAACAGCCATGGATAAATGGGAAACAGATGACTTGGTTGTTATAAATGTTGTTTGTGCTGCATTAGCAGGAGCTATTTCAAGTGCCATAGCTAATCCTACTGATGTAGTAAAAGTTCGTATGCAAGTAACTGGTGGCGATTCAAATTTGTCATTATTTGGTTGTTTTCAAGATGTATATAAACATGAAGGTATACGTGGTTTATGGAGGGTATGTACAACATTTAGATTAAGTGTTTGCCAAGAACATATGTTGTATTAATATTTTTCTGTGTAGGGTGTAGGACCCACTGCTCAAAGGGCAGCAATTATAGCTGCTGTAGAATTACCTATATATGACTATAGTAAAAATAAACTTATGGCTTTCCTGGAAGACAGTGTTACTAATCATTTTCTGTAAGTAAATTGTACTAACATATGGTAAAATGAATTCCATGATACTTTGCATGTATATTATAAATATACAAACTAGTAGTGGTACTGTTGATACTAATTTATAAATTGTGCTGAAAATTTTCTGTTTTACAATATATATAAATCTAAACTACATGCAAATTCATGTTATAATTTTTAAAATTAACTATTGATTAACCCTTATCCGGGCTGTTTGCATCTCATAATATATTCAGTGTTAGACTATTATTATATTGTTGCCTTGATAAGGCAGGCATCGTTTCATATACTTTTTCCACCGTATGTGATGTCATATGAGTATATCTAACTACGAAACCAAATTTAAACATCATTTTACTATGTTCTCAACAACAATGAGTTATTTATTGTTTATTTATGTTTCCTAGAAGGCTGCAATATTTTATGCAGAAATATTTAGCCCAGAAATAGTACTTAATTTCATTAGTGCTGTGTTGGTGATACATTTTCTTGAAAAGGAAGTAATATTTTTCTAAAGATGAAAAATTTTATTTCTAGGTTCTTTCACACTGTCGTGTACATGGGCACATGCAGTATATGGACATTGAGATGACCACAGAGAAACAAAATGGAAGTCACGTTTGACATTCTCGTTTTATATAACAATGATTAAAATTGTTATCCAGATAACTAAATATCTCTAATTACTTCATGAACATTGCTTGGTTAGCATTTGTCCATTAAACTAACTTTCATTTTTTTTTTTACTGTATCTCTTTTGCTTAATGCGTTTTAAAATTTTTCTTTGGAGGACGAATGAAATATTCCATATGAACTTTTCTTATAGTGTCTCAGACATCACAATATGCATTTTAATAGGTAATGCTTGGATAAGGGTTGCCTTAACTTATTGCAATAGAGTAGAATTAAAAACCAGGAAAAATAATTTATAATTTACAGTTAAATGTACAACAATAACTTTAAGGTTTACAATTACATTTCTACATGTATGCATACATAAATGTGTATATGTATATTTCAGGTCTAGTTTTATAGCTAGTATGGGAAGTGCAGTAGCTTCTACCCCTATAGACGTTGTCCGTGTAAGTATATTTTACACTTTATTTATTTGAATCTTTTAAATAGACAATAATATAACTGTAGACGCGGTTGATGAATCAAAGAAGAGTACGTACCACAGGTGGAGTATTACCGCCTCATATCTATAATGGAAGCGTTGATTGTTTCGTTCAGGTAAGTTTGTACATTTTGAACGGATGCTTTATGTATTCTTAACAATTTAGTATACAAATTATTTATTCCTGTAGACCTTTAAAAATGAAGGATTCTTGGCATTATACAAAGGTTTTGTACCTACTTGGTTTAGAATGGGACCATGGAATATTATATTTTTTATAACTTATGAACAACTGAAACAATTGGATCATTCGCATTTGTCGCTAAATAAAATGTTAAAATATACAAAGGAATAGAAATTAGTGGAAGGTATGGACAAACTAAGAGAAGTACAAGTGTGCGTGTGTAGATGTGAGAAAATATTGGAAAGAACAGTAGAAAATAATTTAAGTCTTCGTTATGTTTTACTTGTATGAACGTTACAATATTTATAGTTAGACGTATGAAAAGAATTACAAAAAAAGAATGTGTACAAAAAGTAAATAGAACTATCTCCTCAATGGTGATAGAGAATCACTGATGAAAGTAAATTGAAAACATAAACGTACTTGATAAAAGAGCACAGTTATATATTCTTCTTAGTATGTTGGAAGTTTAATAGTACTAGTCAGCATTTAAATCTCTGATGATGAAAACAGTGAATGTACAGCGTATTTGCACTTCATATTTCACATATATACGTGTCTAGATTACTTTTAGGCAATACTAATCTTGTATTACTTGTGTTTAGATTTTATTTCTCATAATACATCTGAGAATGAAATCTAAAGATGTATCCAAAGAATACGTAACAATATATGTATTGCAGTGTATGTGTGATTCAATATATGTAAGTATACTGCAAAACAACATTTATGGAAAAATACATATTTTACACCAAAATGTAGTGTACTAAAATGGAATATGTTCGATGAAAAATTTTCTTTATTAAATAAACAGGAATGCAGAACAGTGCAAAATAAAATATACTAAAATATTATAAACTTTTACAACATATATTAGGCTGTCAACCAACATTATAATAATTTGTCAGATTGTGAATACAGTACGATTGTTTCAAACGTAATCGATTTACCCGCTATACTTAGTTCCTAAGTTAAACATTCTTAATATAACTTCACGATCAACAACAAACAAACGTTTCGGGTATTACATAAAAAAAAAATCATAACTTTTTACAATACCATACAATTATTTTTTTATCCTTACCACCGGTTAAAATCACATTATTCTCTGCGGATACCGATAATGCATAAATTGGTCCTGTAATTTATTAGCTTTTAATTATTTAAAACGAAATATTAATTTAAGATTCTTGTACGTATACTGTAAATAGAAATAATTAAAATATATTTTACCATCATGACAATGTATTTGTGAAACAAAAATTCCACCTTGACGGTTCCATACATTAATGTTTCCATTACTGTCTCCTATCAGTAAAAACGTTTCCAACCACGTCAATGTCAAAGGTTCGTATTCTATAGTTGTACGATAAATTTGTGTACTTGTGTGAACATCAATTATATTCAATACGTTATCTTCTGCACACGATATTATACTTTTGCCTTGTTGATCAAATGTCACTGCGTTCACTTTGCAAGTGTGTCCTGTATAAAAGAATCGTGTATATTTATATGTAGTAACAATAAATGAAGTAACTATTTTAAACTGTACCTTTTGCAGTAAATTGTAAGTTATAAGAATCAAGGTTCCACAAAAAGATTTCTCCATCCTCTGTACCAGATACTAGTAACGTTTCATCCCTATAAATGTTCCCATAAGGTACAGTTTTGCAAATGTATTGTACGATGAATGATTTTATGAATCGAATCAAACGAAAGGATCACCTTGATATATTAATACATGTCACTTTAGATTCATGATCCAACTGTGCAATAAGGCACTCTGCTGGTTTAATTTTTGGCCCAGAAACATAGCTTTGCCAAACTTTTGCTGTACAATCCCACGAACCGGATATAATAATCTGACGAGAAGGACTTAAAACTAAACAAGAAACAGCGTCCTCGTGTCCTTGCAAAGTATCTATCACTCTGCCAAATTCCACGTCATAAAATATTCTGTAAGAAGAAGCTATTTAATAGAGCAGTTTAAGTACATGGAACTAAAATACATATTTATGTCGATTATTTACAATGAATTATCCCAGGAGCCCACAACTAATACATTACGATGAGAGGATGTGTTATAAGATATGCAAGAAGAAAGCGGTAGCATTGATAAAGCTACGCTACGCGTTAATTTTTTGTTTATAATACTGTATAATTTAAGCATTCCATCTTGTCCCACTGATATTATTTCATCGATTGTCTCCGTATTCGTCATGGTAATGCTGCTTACACTTTCCTTATGGGACTGGAATGTCATTAATTCACGTAGTTCAAAGGACTTTTCAATGGGATTTTTATCTTCTGGAAGAAATTATAATTTCTATTACTTAATAAATCTGTTCCACTGAGGAGGTGAGCGATAGCAAAATGTGGTATACCTGCTCCACATTTGATAGACATTAAAGCAGTTTCAGTATATAATTTATCCAGCGATGAAGCAGAACGCTTAGGGTGAGGTAGAGTAAAAACTTGCTTTGGTATTTGACCAAACTCCATAATTTGTATCTCTAAACCGTGTCTATCATTAATGTCTCGAATAGTGTCTAAATCTATTGCTCCCTCATAGCATAAATGAAAAAATACTGAAATATAATGTGTTATGAATTATATGCTACTGATGAGATCAATTTTAGCATTCAGCATTAATTTACTATTATCAGCTTTCTCCGCTTCAATTCCTCGTTGCTTGTATCCAAATATTAAATCAATCCAATGATGAAGATTCTCAGATACGTGATCGTTTTCCAAAGCATTTCTTAATACTTGTATGAAATGTGCTGGTCCTGAAATTTGACGATAATTGTACGAAGATTCCATGTAATGGTTAATTCCATCTTTAAAAATGTGTAATACCATTTGCCCACGGTGGTAACTGTACATCTCCTATTTTTGTACCGTCATATCGATAGCCAAAATCGATACCATAACTATTCACCAAAAAATCACCGCCACTGGTCGTGTCATAAAATTCCGGGACCAGTTCTTTAAAGTCAGACATGTTCACCAAAACATTTTTCCATACGTCAGCTAGACTGTTAGGTGTTTTTGTTGGTAAGAGTGAAAGAAAAAATCGCTTCTGCAGAGTCGACAGTCATTATGTTTTTTTTTTTACAGTATAAGAAGGAATTACCATTAAATTTTGCATTGTCTGTGTGATACAAAATCACATTCATGTATACTCATTAAAGCTTTGCTTTAAGTCGAACGTTAAACGCAATCTTCGAATAGTTAGAAGTCTGAGTTCGTACTTCTTTGTCATAATTTTGATTTATAATTTTTATATAAAAGTACATACCTGTTGAACATTCTATCCGGATGATCGAATCTTCCATTTTGTAGACACAGCATATACTGAGGGTATTTTCGTACTAAATAAAATAATACAAATCCTGGTGCACTATAATGTGAACCGTATAAAAACTTTGGTTCAGACATTTCCGTATATCGTTCCTAAAATACAATTACCCTATCATCTTCTTCCTAGCATGTATAATCTAGCTTTCAACAAAGTAAAAACTGTATACCTTCAATCTTTCTAATCTACTTGGTTTAAGTGCTCCAATAGGTTTGGAAAGATCTCTGTATATATTAGGATTACTCAAATCCAATACAGAAGATGTGTAATCTTGTATTACCCATGGCATTACTGGATACTGAGTCAAATCATGAAAAGTTCTATCCGCTAAACTGAAAAAATGCGTTTATTGAAAAATAAAATAATACAAACTCTTATTTTAACTTCTTTTCGCGTAAGAATTACCTATTAATGTATAACAGGTAATCATAATTTGATAAAGAACCATGTTGCCATCTCATGGTCATTTGATCCTGAGGTATTCCCTCTAAAGACACTGTTGGTTGATTTAATAAATTCATATAAAGTTCATCCCTATCTTTTTGATTTTTTAATGATATGAACAAATGTTCAGCCTTATTTTCTGGCTGCTTTATCCATTTAATTTCAAGCCCCTGTAGCAAGTAAAATGACATGTACACCAACAGCAACAGTTACATACATTGCATTTAAGAAACAATACTCACAACTTGTCTTAAGAGAAATCTTCTCTTTATAATATTGCTGATATCCTTCAGCTGTATTTTTAGAACAGGATGCTAATGGTATAAAATTGATACTTTAATACTGGTTTATTACAATTATGTATGAAGTACATACCTGATCTAAATTATTATAAGGTTGGAAATAAATTCTAGAGGTTGTTAAAAGTATTCTTCCTGGATTTATGACAAGAGGTAGTACTTTATTTGCTTGACTTTCTAACACAACCTGTTCGTATAAATCTTCCAACCAAGATGTATCAAATGAGACTCTAGATTGTCTGGAGTGTACAATGGCCATAATCTAAATCATAATAATAGATTGCTTATTCTGTTTTATAACATAACATAATGGACATAGCATTTATAAAATATACCATGGCATTCTGTTCAGCAGTTGGTAACGTAGCTGCTCTAAGCAATTGCAAAATCTGCGGAAGACAGTCTTCTACTTTTGCATAATTAAAGTAAAAGTAGAAAGTAGCATGTTCATGAATAAACTTGTATGGCGCAAGTATATTTTTTTCCAACATTTCTACATACTGTTTACATTGGACTGACAGAACATTGGTACGTCTAAAACATAAAAAGAAATAAGTATGTTACATATGCTTTATACTTTCGTGAGTTAAAAAATTCAAATACCTACTTCATTATGTCACTGCCAGATTCACATTGATCAATAGCTATGGCTTCTTTCAGTTGTATTTTTATTAAAGGCAAGTTAATATCCTTATTTACAAATACCAAAGATTTTGAACATAATTTCAATCTTCCATCTATCCATTTTTGCTCTTTGGAAGTAGAAGTATCGAGCATTTCCATTTGAACACTGTAATCTTCAAAAAAGATTTCCCCAGGTTCCAAAAGGAGCATTGTAAATCTGATACATGTAAAAATATATTAATAATCATTTATGCTTCAAATACAACCTTATAATAATAAATACACACTGTCTTTTATATTCATGCATATGCACACATTTACTAAATAATGCTATTTACACATATGAATGGTCAAAACAAGAGATACATACCTTTCTTTTTCCATTGCTTCAAAATTAAATGTAAATTATAACAAGCATTAATAATGACCATTACATATGACCCAGATAGATATTATTACACAATAGTAGAATTTACGTGATCATTTCTCGATAATATGTGTTTAAATGGAATATATATAAACTTTATTTTAGGTTCGTGACAGTATGAATCATCATGTACGAGTATATTTGGAGTATCTAAAATGTATGTACGGTCTGCTCAAATAAAATTTTCTTGTTCGGTATATTTTTGTGATTAAAACTTGTTCACTAAGTATCTATACAAAACGGAACTCGCTTCCCCAAGATTCTTACTTCAGTAAGTGTTTTGACATCTTTGACATTCCCCTTTGATTACACTGGATTACACTATATTGTCTGTCTCCCTCTACACACATCGCTTAGAACTGGTGACAAGATTATAGAGAGCAATGGATACAATTCTGCGATTGCTTCGATTGCTTCAACAGCTTATCATTAGATAACGGATTCTGTATATTTATAACAGTCAAAAATTGTCTAAAACACAATACAGTCAAAAGTTTGATAAACTTTAATACGGTTGTTACCAGTGGGGGTAAAAATTATCATACATGACTTTGATTCGTTGATTCTTATAATGCCGCCGAATCATATATACATCTTTATAAGAATCAACCAATCAAAGTCATGTATGATAATATTATTCTCATTTCTTGTTTTTTACTATACCTACAGAATACATATTTTCCTCGAACATTTCACCCGAGTAGACTATATCTAAATAGTCGACATAGGAAAGTAGTACCCTCTACTTGGTTGAGCATCACTGCCTTTTAAAGAGAAACAAGAAAAGTCGAATACGTTCCGGTTCTCTCGTCGCGTTTCTCAAATCACCCATATCCGCATATCATCAATACGACAGACCGGCGATCTTCGAATAGGTTATTCGTAATTCCGCGTGCAAAGTTCTTTTGTAATTGGGATAGTTTTTGTTTGATTATATAGCAGCTACGATCTACCATGGAGGAGTTGATGAAACACTTGCATAAAATAAGAGTACCGCAGAAACACGACAAAATATATAATGACGAGTGTGTTTATTCTTTCGATACCCCAGTAAGATGTCATGTCTATTAAGTAATTAGAGATTATAATGTGCAACGGCATAATTGTTGTTTTCCTTTTAAAGGATAGCCCCACCGGCCTTTACGTTAATCTCACCACCTTTTTGGGATTAGGTCAGGATCATCTAGAGCGTTATTATCAATTAACTGAAAATCCTGTGTTTTTACACATCAAACGAAGAAGAAAAGAAGTGAGTCATCTGTTATTTCTGTGCAGCATATTTATAATAGTTAGAACGAGATTTCTGACACAACATTATTTGTCTTTTCACAGATTCAATCTGAACATCAAGGAGATGGTCCTGAGAAAAAAATTACAAGATTGGCTATTGGGAAAGCTGATGGTTTTACTCCGGATCAACAAAAATACACTTATCATGAATCTTATGAAATTGTTATTCTACCAAATTTTACAACAATACCTTATCCGTCAGATAATTTACCACAAGAGGTATCTATGAGATGAAAAATAAAAGTATTATCCAAATTACTTTTACTATTTTCTAGGTTGAGCACGCTATCAAAATTATATTAGAGGCTGAATCTGCAACGAAGATAGCAGAAATAGAAAGACTTTCCGAAGCTTGGGATGGAGAAATAAAAGCAGTATCAAAGTAAAATCATACATAAAAATATTAATATAAATCAGTTGTATTCATTATTTGTATTATTATTAAATCTTTAGGCATGCCTCAAATCTTAAACAGCTGGACAATGGGAAGAAAGTACCCCCAAGTGGATGGAAATGTGAAAAATGTGATCTCACTCAAAATCTGTGGCTTAACTTATCCGATGGCAGCATTCTCTGTGGACGTAAATTTTATGATGGAACTGGAGGAAATGATCATGCAGTTGAACATTATAGTACTACTGGTTATCCTTTGGCTGTGAAACTAGGAACCATAACTAAGGAAGGAAAAGCTGATGTGTTTTCTTATGATGAAGATGATATGGTCGACGATCCACATTTAATACAGCATTTGTCTCACTGGGGTATTAATATTACTCAAATGGAGAAAACCGACAAATCTATGATAGAGTTGGAATTGGATCTTAATCAGAGGTTTGGTGAATGGGTTGCACTTCAAGAAGCAGCTAGTAAATTAACACCTTTGTATGGACCTGGATATACAGGACTTGCTAACTTGGGAAATTCGTGTTACTTAAATAGTGTTATGCAAATGTTATTTGTTATTCCAGACTTTGTTAAAAGGTTTGTAATTTAATCTTATACAAGTAACTTTAAACCAGTTTAATCTTAAGCGTTGCTAGTGTCTCCATCTGGTACATATCTGTTAAATTTTTTGGTATCGGTAATTGCAAGTAAATTTCAGATTTGTAGACGGTGCGTCGCAGATATTTCAACAAAGTTATACGGATCCAGCAAATGACTTTAATGTTCAGATGTAAGTTGAGAAAAAAATTGTTTCCCATGTCAAGAATCATTTGAAATGTGTATCAATAGGAATTGTTAATGTTGCAGGGCTAAGCTCGGAATTGGTTTACTTTCTGGAAGATATTCAATGCCACCAAATAATGAGAATGAATCACGTCAGGGTATTCCTCCACGGATGTTCAAAACGTTAGTTGGTCGTGGACATCCTGGATTTTCTTCAAATCGGCAACAAGATGCACAGGAGTTCATTCTTCATTTGATAAATGTTATAGATGTAATTAAATTGAACATTTGAAATTTTTGATACTTGTAATTTTGTGTATTACATTTACATTGTAATACTAACATCAGAATATTGATCAAATAGCGCCACAGTCGCCATCAAACGAATCCTAGCGACTGTTTCAAATTCAAAGTCGAGGAGAGGTATCAGTGCAGTCATTCTAAGAAAGTGAAGTACACTTATCGTCCAGAATATCTTCTGCCGCTCCCAATATCTCTGGAATCAGCGATAAATAAGGTAAATCAATTACACCATACAAAATTTCATTTATAGGTATGTATACATTCTTTGATAAATATATTGATATGTAGAAACAAGTCGCAGCTTACGAAGCTCTAAAGAAGGAGACAGAAGCGAAAGGACAAAAGCTAGACTCAAATACAGTAGTCAGACCTCGTATAGAATTTTTGTCTTGTCTGCGAGCGTTTGTCCAATCCGAAACAGTTGAACAATTTTACAGTTCAGCCCTAAATGAAAAAACAACTGCGCAGAAGTAAGTATTGTGTTATGTTATATTATCATGTATACAAGTTATATCACGTACGGCTTTTCTTTTAGAACAACTAGACTCGCTAGTTTTCCGGATTATTTATTAATTCATTTAAAAAAGTTCACGGTGAAAGAAGATTGGACTCCCGTCAAGTTGGATGTGGTCGTTGAAATGCCAGAATTGTTGGATTTGAGTATTCTTCGGGGCCATGGTTTACAGTCCACAGAGGAATTGTTGCCGGAGACTACTGGCTCAGAAACTCCACCACCTGTTTACGATTCCGTTGTATTAAATCAGTTAACAGACATGGGATTTCCACCAGAGGCTTGTAAAAGAGCACTGTACTTCACGGAGAATCGTGGCATAGAAGCAGCCACTAATTGGCTAATGGAGCACATTGCAGACTCCGATTTTGCGGATCCTTTTCTACCCCCTGGAATCGATGCAAAACCAAGTACATATTATCACTGATTTGAATACTAAGAGCATGAAGTGTTACTTTGTTTACTTATTCATTGTATTTTAGGAAAAGATAAATTCATGGCTAACGAAGACGCTGTAGCTATGGTAATATGGATGGGCTTTACGAGAGAACAAGCAATAAAAGCGCTCAAAGCGACTGATAATAATTTAGAACGAGCAGCAGATTGGATTTTCAGTCATCAGGCTGAATTAGATGCTTTGGACGTTGATGATGAGCAGGCACATTCCGAAGAGATATTTAGAGACGGAAGTGACCGTAGGTTCTTAAGAATATTATCAACAGTATTTATACTTTGCTTTTGAAAACCTAAATATGTATTGTTCACTATTCAGAATATAAATTAGTGGGCTTTATGTCACATATGGGAACATCAACAATGGTGGGACATTACGTATGTCATCTTTTGAAGGATGATCGATGGGTGATATTCAATGACGATAAGGTACATATTACAAGAATAAAATATGCTTCAATAAAATCACTAAAATATTCACATAAATTGGCTATTGCAGGTTGCGTTGTCTGAAAATCCACCGCTAAACTTAGGATACATATATCTATATAAACGCATGGATTAGATTATACAGTTGTTTTATATACAAAATGTATTCTATTACACTTTAACAATAAAAAAAAGCTGACAGAGAAAACTTTCACTCTAAACTTAGTACGGAATCGTGTTAAGATGGAACCTTCCCCATAAAAAATAAGAAAACACAAGGACGTAAAAACATCAGTTTATTTTTCAACAATGGCACCATTTTATAACGTGTATATAGCACTTCATATTCTTTCAAGTACAAAGTATTACTATCACTTCAGCAGAACTTGCTATACGTATATTAAAATATTAAGTCATTAACATTACTAGCAATTTCGAATGCAATATGATATACTATATAAACACAGACTGTTTAATAAATTGCAGAATTCATATTACAGTAGTTTTCACATAAATATCGATTGTATTTTACAAATGTCTAATTATGTTTTCCTATAGTGTACAAAATTCACATGATAGTGTAAAAATATATATTTAGAAATACTTTAAGTAGAAGGCCACATTAGTAAATATTTATGATTATTGTATCAAATGACTGATTACTTTTTGTAAGGCAATACTGTCTAATATAATTCTCTTAAGCTACACATTGATTCCAATTTTATATTTTACAAGTTATTCACATAAACAATGCATCCGGTATTTGAAAATTAAGACGCATTACTCATACTGCATTTAATTTTGTACGTATTTACAGAGAGAAATTAGTTCTGAATGATCCTTTCCACGCGAAATTGTCGTTTGATTGTCCGATTTATTATTTACAACCTTGTTTCTTACCTTGTATTCATATCTATATGATCCTATAAATATAAATTTATTATTTTCCTAACGTAATGTTATTTGTACATTAAAAAATACTTAAAAAAGCCTTGAAAATGCAACAATACGAGCTTCAAAAATGCTCTCACATTAAAAGTAATTGAACTGTAATAATATTTCTGATAGAATATTAAATAGGCTGTTTCGGTACTATTCTAGCTAGCTGCCCTAAGCTGCAACCTTGTGTTAGCACCCCCATCAATTATCCCAATCGATGGTGGAATGGCAAATATAATATTGTCTCCATCCTTTTTGAACGTCGGTTCAAGGACATCCGGTAGCACTTTTACCCTTAATACTTTGCTTTTGTTTCCTAACATACACTTAAATTTTGCATCAACCGTAACTTGTAGATCCGCCGAACGTAATCTGTCAGAAAATACATTACCTTAATACAGAATAATAAGATATATTGACATCTGGAAAAATACTAAACACAACACAATACGCACTGACTATATCTGTTGCTTAAAATGCCAACAAGTTCTCCGATTCTGTCATCCTTCGCAATAATTGACATTATGAAATCATTTCCTCGATTGGAATGAATCGTTATAAGCTGATCCCTTCCAGGTGATACACTTACACCTGTAATCTCAGCTATTGGCATACCTTTCCTTAAACTTTTGAATTTAGAACTATCAAGTTTGTATATCGTATGTTCAGTTACCACTAACACACGATCCTTTGGTTTGTTAAATCTACAAAAAAAAAAAAGAAAGTTCATTGTAATAAAATTCGAGGAACGTCGAAGACTGGTAAATATATGAAGTAACTTTCTATACGAACCTGTTGGTTTTTTTAATAAATGCACTAAATAAGACAGTTTTAAACCGGTCAGTGTTGCGTAGATTATTTATCGAAGAATTGAAGATATTATTATGAGGATTCTCATCCGATTTGGAAAGATAATTTCCTTCCCACCGCCTATCTTGTCCCCAATGTTGTCGTTTTGAGTGCAGAACTGCGCCTGCAGCCATCTGCGATAATACTGACGTTACATACAGGAAAACACATAACATACGTTAATACAAGTGTATACCTTTAACCGTAATTGTGGCCAGTCCTCCCTAGGGATCTTTCTGAGAATCATCCATGCCCACCATCTACCATACATAATTTTTAAGGCAGATATTACGTGTCTCACAGCAAAATTTTCGCGAGGCCAAGTTAAACGTTTTCCGTAATCGGGCATCGTTTTCGCATTGCAAAACAGCCTTACCAATTGTTTAATGTAAGTGCGTATCTTGTATATTCGATAATATTTCATTATGAAGAGCGCAGCCTTCATTTTTTTATACTTCTGCCGACATACGTATCCTCTCCATTGCTTTTGCAGTAATATTACAATACCCGGTATCAAATCGCTACGTGCCTTTTCTAAGGCAAAAAGTGTTTGCGGAGAGCGAATGAAGATTTTCGTGTGACCGTATTTCACATCATTACTAAAACCTTTCTCGTTCAATAAAGTGTTCACACCATCCCTGTCGGTGCCACCTCTAAAATTTGGCCATGTATACTGTGATATCATTTTATACCTGATAGAAAGAGGAACTTATTATTGATGAATTAATACTAATTTTGTTTTTATCTCTTGTTAGTCATAGGCTATGACTCATAGCAAAATATTAATACCGTTTCAAAAATCGGTCGTATCGTTGCCGATACGCGAAACCAGCTCGCCTGACCAATACATTCTCGACAAGGCCCAAGTATCGCACCTGATGATTTACTCTCTCTTCGTCGAACACGACCGGTGATTTAACTTCATTTGGCTTTATACATCTCACGTAGAACGGTTCTTTGCTTGTTAAATTCTTAACCAGAGCTATCATGGAATTACGGAAAAGTGTTCCAGCTGTTAAAGGTCTTTTTGTTGTCTGAAACAGGGCAATGAATGTATAAAAATGAACAAATATATGATAATTTTATTACAATAGATTAGTCTCCTTACCTTTAGAATATTTTGAGCACCTTCAGGCCACATTTTACTAATTATTGGATTACTGCTCTTATAAAGTAAGCGTTTAAAGTCTTGGAACAATGTATCTTTATTTTTGTCTAAAAACCCGATGACATTATATATCACATCTCCTGCATAGTGTTTGATCTTAAACTGAACTTTATGTTGAAGTACTTTATCCGTTGGTTTCAATTGTCTGGAGGAATAATGCTTATGATCGATCAACTTTTGATCCATAGCCTCTAAAAGCATCTGAAAGAATTATGTTATAAAACAACAGTTACATTTGCCAATCTAAATAGTAAACTATGAATACTAACTTCATCTGTAACTTTGCCAACATTCAGGCAAGCTTCATCCATAATTGCGATAATTCCTTTATGCGATTGCTCTACTAAATCACAAATTATTTGGTTATTAAAATAATCGATATTTTTCCATGCTATTCCTTCGTTCTTATATTCTTCCTGTTCTTGTTTCAGTACCAGTTCTAAAACATTGAATTATTATTATAATACCATTGGGAGTATACTTTTATTTCAGATGCGCTTACCAATGAATAACTGCTGCAACTTTTCATTACAGTAATTAATACAGAATTGTTCGAAGCTATTAACATCAAAAATTTCAAATCCATATATATCTAATACTCCAATTACTGTTCTGTATCTTTTATATGTTTCCATGTCGTTTACGTTAATTGCAGCGTTAACACGCGATACAATTTCATTAAATAATCTTTCATATATTGCCTGTAAAATTTACATGTAACTTATTAGCCATTTTATGGATCATCATTGATATAAACATGAAACAGCAAAAAGGAAAAAATTATAAAGTTACTTTTGCTAATGCATCTCTTCCATATTCCGCTTCTGTTGAAGTATGAGTTTTTTGCATAACTTCTCCACCTGCTGCTATTACTCTTTGAGTAAGAGCTGTACTCAATTCCTGAGGGCTAATAGAAAGCAAGTTTGCTGTATCATTTAAAGCAGTTTTGTTCTGAATTAAGAGCTTGTCCTCGTCAAGTTTAAACGTGATGTTGCCCTATAATGCATAAAAACAAATTTATGTAAGCAACAGAACAATGATATTTATATCTCCTCTCTATATTAATAATAACAAACCAAGTGTAATATTCCGGCAATAACATTCCACACTGTTTGCATTTCGTTTTGTGTAAATCCAAGAGTGGACATAGCAGAAGTAACTGTTTTGTATTCACTTTTATCAGTAGGACTCGCTTTATTACAATTTCCAGCGCCAACATAGAAATATGCAGCTGGGTCCCTTACTAATCTTAGCTTATTTAGTTCTGCTTCACTACAGCCATTCAAGAGCTATAATTATAAATAGTATTCCTTAAGTACGTTCTGTGATATTAAAAAGAATAAAAAGATAAAGTAAGAAATAATACCTGGTAGAAACAGTGAAAATTACGTTCACCATTCTGCTGATACACAACTCTTGATTTTTCCAACAAGTAATTGGTAACATGGCCACCAATTGGATCTCCTTTGAAATTGAAGTCTATATCCATGTATTTCCCAAATCGAGAAGAGTTATCATTTCTATTTGTTTTTGCATTCCCAAAGGCTTCCAATATTGAATTAGATTGAATAAGAATATTTTTTACTCTGACATACAAAAAAAATAATTTTAAATTCTAAGAATAGAAAATCCTAAAGACAAGTGTTATAGCTTTGTTATATTCTCTATTTGGTTAAAATAAACTACATTGACCTATAAAAATTTAACTATAGTAAATTACCATTCTAATTTATTCTTAAATAACTTTTATATTACCTTTCTATTTCTTGTTGACCACTTAAATTTGTGACTGCAGCAATGTACTTCATAATAATTTTACTTGCTTCAGTCTTACCAGACCCTGATTCTCCACTTATTACTATGCAAGTATCACGTCGTTGCTGTTTCATCTCTTTGTGTACTGCATCAGCAATTGCAAAAATATGTGGTGGATTCTCAAATAACTCTCTATCTGCAATATAATTGTCAATAGTTCAACCATGACCTGGTAATGTATTATTCATTATTTTTATGTACATATAATTATATACCTTTATACTTATTGATATAATCATTATTGTATATGTTTATGCTTCTATATGGATTTATACTGACACATACTTCTCCAATATATGTATAAATTTTACCACCATTAAATCTGAAAACAATCAATAATGAAATCGTGAATAAACAATTTTAATTGCAAATGGCACTTTGGACATGCAGTAACATATCATAGAAAATAAGTTATCGTTTTGTATTTTATTTTATATGTTAACGCTAGTGCAGAAATTAGTTTTTATTTGTGAAAGATAAGAGTTATCTGTTTATCAAGAATACGTGATAGAGAGCAATATCTAATTTCAAATTTCAAATGTCGTCGTCTTTGTGACAAACTGACCTCGCGTAGTATTACCGAAAAGAATGCGTGTCAATTATCTATATATGAACTTTAAAATAAAATATTTACAATAATGGTCGAGTGTAATGAAAAGCTCAAGTTCGAACCGAGGGCGATGACTCATAGAATGCAGAGCCCGATAAGACTTCAGCATTAAGTGTTTCTTCTAAAATTAGACATTCAATCTGGGAACATATTCATATATTTTTGTACACGAAAACCTTAGGAATAAATTTATTATAGATTCAAGACTTTAGATAAATACAGTAATATAGAAATATATAAAGTGAATGGCTATTATGATGCTGAAATAAAAGAGAATTGTATCTAAAAGATATCGACATCGAGAGATTTTAATGCAGCGTTAGGATATGTTTTAATTCGACAAGTTTTTATGGGTCAAGTTCAAATCCAAATACATCGAGCCGCATTACAACCACCTGCTAATACACGGTTAGCCACGCCCTCTTGGTGGATGATCTATGAAGTATAATACCAAGAAATGACCGGGAAGCGTACGGTACACTTGTCATGTTTCCATAGAAAATAGTCGCTTGCATTATCCGATTTCCCGCCAGTTTCCTCATTTATCGCGTTTGTCAGCATCATTCGTTGATACATCATCTCACCTGACTCGTAAGTTATCCACAACCTTCTCTACAGTGATCTCGTCCAGTAGAACCAGGTCGCCAATACCAACTTCATCTTGCGCTGCCATTTTATTCAATGATATATAAAACACACGAATTTACAATTCCATATGCAAGCTCTACACGTACAAAAATCGTCGCGTGTTGGAGACCAGCTCCTTTCTACGAACCGTCTTCGCTGCCGAGCGAACGACGAGTGTACGATTCAGTGAAAACTTCCGCCGACCTATTCTCCTCCCCTCCATGAGCGTGTACAGTTGCGATGATGTACACTGACGTTATCTATTTGCCTATTTAAAGGGGCAAGTGGATATGCAGTTCACAAATGTATATTGAAGGTACCAGTACCAATGACTATCTAAAAATTTTGCGTAAAGGGAATTCGCATATATATATTTTCCTCATCTTTTTACATGATTACACTTTACCTTCCTTTTATTTCGAAGTGAACTACAGAAAGTGAACATAGATAAATCTGAAATGGACACGATTCTGAGAGTTCTATTTGGTAATAGCGTAGTGGCACTTGGAAGTAAGAGTCTTACTGTAAGACTTCTCGAAGTTACTCTAAAATGGATACATTATTTGAGAGTATTCTTGAGAGCAACTATATCGTAAGGAACCTTCAAATGGACACCTAGCTTTACTTCAATGCTATATTAGGTTGTCCGTTAAATTCGTAGTGCTTTTAATTATTTATTTTTTAATATTTGAGCTTCTTTTGGTAAAAAATCATGAAATTGAGTAACAAATGCCGAAAGGTCATGTAAAGAAACGATGATCTGTCAGTCAATTTCATGAGCTTTTACCAATAAAAACTGAAACATTAAAAACTAAAAACGCTACAAATTTACAGGAGAACCATATTTGCAATTTTGTAATATTTTTATTACGAAAGTATGAGTTGCGGTTACTTATATATATACAACATGAAAGTATTAATTCATACTTGTCTGCTTTTTCACAATTTAAATATTAGTGCGCTATACAATCCACACATGGCGACTGTTCGAGAGTTAAATTTATACCTGTTATACCAAATTCTCTTTGCATATACGTATATTGTACTGTGATACAGCTGAGGAAAAAAACTTTCTCAAGCGCATGCGTATAATCCAACGTGACCTGTGTACATGTCATACACGTATATATATGTTATATTATTCACTGTTATTTTTGGCGATTGGTATCGTTTGTCATTTAGTCTCTCGTGTGGTCGGAGGAGTCGTAGATGCTATTCCCGTAATCGGAAATTACAAGGATGGCCGAGAAGAAATCAGAACTACACTTAAATGGTACGAACGAGATTGCAACGAGACATAAAAATTATGCGGCTCCAGTCAGGTTATGGAGAAAATTGCAAATAAATGAGTGGACTTTCATTTTTCTACTCTTCATAATGTCATTAACCATCTTTTTGGGAAAATTGTACATCAATTATGGTAAGTGAGGTCCTGAAAGTATATGATATTATTTTGTTTTGTTAACAACTTGTCATGTGAAATTAACACGCGTCACTACATGTTGCATGTCTCCTCTTTTTCCTCCGCATAACGTTTAGTTAGCTAGTTCGATATTACTTGTAATATGTTTTTCTTTTTCAATATCTTCGTATTGACGGGCTTTAAACTTCTTTGCAAAATTTATATATCACATACTAAAATCTGAAGCAAGTCTGGCCGAATTTTTCAAGGATCTTTTATCGCTTTCGCTTCGTCAATTATTTTAAAGAAATTGATCAGGTATAAAAGAACAGAGTCATTTTGATGTTTTTTTTTATTTGCAAAAATTCGTAGTATTCAGCTTCTTTTTATTTTAAATTGAGTCTTCAAGTTCAGTATTCTTATATATTTATGAAAACAAACTGGCTTGTTGCAGCATTGCATGTTAAAAAGATAATGAGAAGTGCTGATGTTTTAATATGGTCTCTTTAGGGAATATTTTGCAGCTACAAAGTAATTCTAAGTCAATAGTACCATCGGCATCTATATTTTCAAACATCTACAATATATTTGATCTATCTGACACACCGAGTATATCAAAGTTCAATGTGAATCAATTAACAGCTATGAGTGAAAAGTTTGTTAACATCAGTCAATACGATGATGTTGTAAATGTAACAATGTTACTTTTTAAAACATATGGATGGCTAATAAAAGCTGCAACAAGTGGTCTCATAGTGATGAGTTTTACTTGGTTTATAATTTACAAAGATAGCAGTATTCCTGGAATCAATCCACCTTTTCCCTTTAGCCTTTCTAAGCAAAGGTAAGTATAATTCAAAATGATTCCATCTATAAATGTTAATCATTCAAATTGTTTATTAAACTTACATACAAGTATATTTATTATTTTTAATGTTGTTTGTGTTTCTTTCAGATTTGCAAGGGCATCAGGATTACAAATAAATTATTTAGTTGGAATATTAAATGGGATATTAATTTTCATCTACATGTGTCTTTAATATTATGATAATGTCATGACACCACAGCCGTGTGTCTATAATTGCATAATTACTTATTGTGCAATATTTGTCAGTGTTTATATTTATTTGTTATGTTAATTAACAATATTGCTTGCTAAGATTTGTATTTTTGGTAATTACTAAACTTAGTTTAGCAGTCAGCACGTGATATTGAGTAAGTAATTTATATTGTGAAACATTTAAATATTTTTTTGTGGGAGAAACATAACTGTATAGTAAAAATGTTGTTTGTACATAACAAAATAATATTTTCAAAGAAAAAAAGTAGTATTTTCTTAGAGATACGTGTGTAACTGAATTTAATGTTGAGATAAATAACAATTTTGTTTACTTAAAATTGTGACATTATAAAGATGCATTATTAATGTTACCAGTTTGTATACAAAAGCAAGTATCATCTGTAACTGGAATCTGCCAGAGGCATAATATGGAAGGCTATAAACATGCAATACTTAATATATAAAATTTCACGGAGTACAAAATAACTATACTATCCCTGGTGAATTCTGTTTTATATTGTCTAATAATCTTACTATCTAAGACTGATCAAGTGTCTTTAAACTTCTTATTTATTGATAAATTAAGATAAGCTTTGAATAGCTAAACATAAAAGTATTATATGTAGTACCTCTTGGTGTTGTGTATTTGTATAACATGTATATTTTTAGTTATTATGTGTATGCATAGAATATTTTTTTACATAAATGATAATGTAATATTGTTCCTCGGAAGATTTGTGTTGATGTCAGTGAATTAGAGAATTCTGAAAAACTTGTTATTATTTATTCTTAAACCACACTTTGTATTTGAATAAAAAGAAACACTTGTAATTCTGTTGTTAAGAAATTAAATTAATCGTATTCGAGATGTATATTCAATATATTTTTTTGTTCCTCTGGATTTCTCAAAAACGTATATTTCTCAATGCTGTATAAATTCTAAAAAATTGGTAATTGTGACCATTTAAATAAAACACCGATCTAACATTCCTGCAAAAGACAGTATGTATTTTTTTGAATAACGTAATCTTTCGCCAGTGCTGAACAAGAATGGACCAACGGGTGCCTTGTGAATAGGGGATTTTCTTTAGGTTACCGATGCATTCGAAGCGTATATAGATTAAAATATTATTTAATGAAATAAATATCTTTTCTTGTATTGATATAGGACTGTTTTTTTAATGCTTGGACAACATTGTTAATAAATTGATACAAATTTCCGATGGCTTGGTGGTGCCTTAGAGGTATACGATTGAGTGTCGTTCCTGAACACGTATTTACTTATAGTGCCTCTCCGAGTAACTAAATGGGTGTGACCCTCTTATTGGTGTTGGCAGTGATAATCATTGATGCAAACTGTTAAATGTGTCCTTTGCACTGATCTGTATAACAATCTGTTCTACAGATTAGTTAACACAATCTGTTATACAGATCAGCGGTCTTTGCCACTTCTTCAGGGCTGTACCTATTCGGCCCCACATACTTTTTTTTATTACACGTCTGAAATACTTTTTTCACTTTTGCAATTAAAAATATTTTTTTCTCTATAGGATGTAAAACTATTTGAGAAGCACTTTGTATATCCGTTTAGTATACATAGTCACAAAACATGTTAGCCGTTCGTGACCATCCATGACCGCTTAATTTGCCACCCTTGTCCCTTGCCACCCGAACCTGTTGTTTTTACGAAGTCACTATAGCTCGGAGAGGCACTCTGTGCGTGTATATGCGTGTACGCGAAAAAGTTAGTACTTAGCTGACTTAGCTCGTGTAGATCCGCTGACTCGTTCTTTGGTAAGAAGTAAGTGTCTCTGTTAAATTTTTCATTCGACTGGCCACAGTTTGTACTATTTCACTATTTTCTTGTGGCAGTAACGGAGTTCTCTTTCTCCAGGGTGCAGTTGAAACATCGTCTTTAATTATAAATTTTTGATACGTGACGAACGATGGATCATCAAATGTTCAAAATATACAATCAGGAAGACTTCAATAGGATCACAAGGGGTATCAAAGTTGCACAATGCATGCAATCGCGGTCGTCATCCGGTAATTGTGCTTCTTATGTTCAATTTTACTCGACATCACATATAAATGTGACCACGGTTGGCTTGATAACATGCTTCTATTTCTTACTTCTCTCATTTTTCAACGAGAACTTTTAATTCCTTTATTTGGCTGTCATCTAATTACGTCATTCGAATCAATTCCAATGAACACGATTGATATCTTCAATTCAAAGGATTTGTTAACATCCATATGTTTAAGGTTACATAGGTTTTATTCCGTCGAATTTGAGTAAAATTATTTGAGTAATGCAAAGTATAGAATTTTTTAAGTAATACCCAAGTAGATGAAAGCAAGAAGTACATGTATAAAAAGTATGATTTTGGTGCTTTAGTTTCAGAAACTGAAAAAGTACTGAGTCAACTCGACGAGTTAGTTGTATCAGATTCATTGAGCTGTTCATTTTGCAATACTTTATTTGAAAATAAAGCACAGCAGAGACTTCATTATAAATTAGATTGGCACAGATATAATTTAAAGCGGCGCTTGAACGGATTGAAACCTGTTAATGAGGATAAATTTAATCTCTTAGCTGATGAAGGTATTCCATTTAATAAAACATGAATTCCTTATGTATGATAATACATTTGGTAACGAAACGTATAATATTGTTGATATTATAGGTGATGTTTCAAGCTTGTCTGGGAGTGATATAGAGTCTGATAATGAAGATGACATCGATGTCTCTGATGCGGGAGGTTCAGCTAATGGACATTATGAGAGTAAAAACAGTATTAGCAAGAATAAAAAAGTAGAGAAAAAAGGAAGGGGTGTAGAATCAATTTCCGACAGCTCTGATACAGAATGTTCTGACGAAACTGTAAAAGAGAAGAAACTTGAAGCATTATTGGCTATAGCAAGTCGTCATTCCAAAGTTTTCTTTGAGAATGACGATGGATATATATTTAGTATATATAGGTGTTTGCTACATAATAAGAAGGTCCGTTCATTTTCTGTATGGCTCGGGAAATATAGTTTTGTGGACAATGTTTTATAAGCACAGACACACCTGTCTAGTATATTACATTGTAATTTAATCTACTTTGTTAGAATGACTTGGCGTGTCTATACTTACCAGATCAGGAGAGATGCAATTACATTTTAGGAAATTCCTGAGGTAGACAATGAGATGATCACTCAAGCATTAGACAGTGGGAGAAAGACGACATGGACTGTTATCATGATTGGTGGTGGACACTTTGCTGCAGCTGTGTTTCAAGGTATAAATTGTAATTTACCAATTGTTTTTGTTTATTACACGAGTACATACTTTCTTTTGTTTTCAGATGGCGAATCTGTAGTACACAAAACATTTCATTCCTACACTGTGAGGGCAAAGCAAGGATTTGCCCAAACTTCACGTACAACAACTAATCATGCAAAGAGCGTTGGAGCTAGCTTGCGTCGTTATAACGCAGCATCTCTACTTCAGGTGGTTTTACTTATTACCCTGAATGCTAACTGGTTTATATGCACGTTCTAAAATATTTTCATTTTTTTAGCATGTACAAGATATACTTGAATCATGGTCAGCTCAAATTAGTAATTCTTCCTTGATTCTGTACAGAGCGGTTGGACCATACAATCGCAGTGTATTGTTTGGAGGGAAGAATCCTCCTTTAGATAAAAACGACTTGAGACTTAGACCATTGCCGTTTCCTACTCGCAGAGCAACGTTCAGCGAAGTTAAGAGAGTGTATGATATATTGAGCACCATGGAAATTTATGGTATGCAATGCATTGAAAGTCAAACATTTGAATAGTTTAATTTTTAGACAATTTGTGTACATTAGGTTCGGCGGCTGACTTTACAGACTCTTTTCCTATTTCACCGCGTCAGCCGCTTAGGAAAAGAGTTTCAAAAGTAGATATGCTTATTGAAGAAGTGACGAATGAAGAAGAAAATAACGAGTGCGATTCTAATACTGCCAGTAATGTACGTAATCCTCAAGATAACGATAAAAGCAAGACTCCCGCACAAAATTCTCCAGAAAGGCAACATAAAAATTCCCGATCTCACATAGATAGGGCGAAACCAAGAAAGAGTCCATGTAGACCTTTACCTGGTAGGAATTATAACATGGAAAATACAGTAATTTCGATATATAGAACCAGTAATAATAATAGTTCTTCCTTATCAGATATTGTCGCCAAGTTAGCACAGTCATCTTCCGAGTCAGAACTAGACAGCCAATTAGGTAACCCCAATATCCCACTGGATAGTTGTCTGATTGAGCAGGAATTAGAAGTAGACTTTCGTGAAAATTTACTTGCTTTTCAAGACACTGTGCCTAGATATATGAAAAACAAGAAGTTCCGCCGACAAAGGAAGAGACCGAAGAAAGATGGCATGTATCCTGTGATTTACGTACATGGTCACTTCGTTTAAGATCCATTTTATATTTGAAACAAATCTGTTTTCAGACAACACAATGAATGAAATCTTAGCTAATGCTAAAACAAAATTATGGTCTGCGTGTAAATTGGGTGACAATGAATTATTGTCGACTTGTATCGGTACTTTATTATCAGAAGTAGAAAAGGTTACGGAAATGGAGGAACAGATTGCAGAAGAAGCAGCTGCTGAAGACAACGCAATTATAAGTACGGAGGATATAACAAAATTAGTGAACGATTTTAACGAGGACGGAAATACGATGTTGCATTTGGCGGCTATTGGTGGACATCTAAAGCTAGTGTGGTAAATTGGCATTGTGTAAATAAAGATTTCAGTTTTCTTTCGTTCGTACTATTACAAAGAGGTTTGACTTTAGGCAATTATTGGAGATTGGGTCGGATCCATGCAATAAAAATAAGAAGCTGCAAACACCATACGCGGCTGCAAACGATAAGGAAACAAGAAATACTTTTAGGAGGTTCATGGGTGCCAATCCTGATAAGTTCAATTACTCTAAGGTACATATTTTCAATATTTGACTGTTCCTTTAACAACAAAGATTAATTATTACGCTTAAAATGACGCATTTATTTATTATGAAGTCTCAAATACCCGGACCACTTACTGACGAAATAGAACAAGGAGAATTAGAAAGGAAGAGACAACAGAGAAAAGTGAAGCGAGAAAAAGAGAGAGTGAAGAAAAAAGAATTTGAGCTTAAGAAGCAAGAGGAAGACGCGAAACAAAGATTCCTTAGTCTCAGTGATCGAGAAAAGGTATGTGTTCCAAATAGTGAACGGATCGTGATTGTGTATTGTATTATCGGTATTAGTTTTATGTATGTATATTGCAGAGAGCATTAGCTGCCGAGCAGCGTATTCTAAAGCAGGGCTGTACGATGATTTCACGATGTTTCCAATGTGCTGTGAATATGGCTGGTCAGGTGCCATTCGAGTATAATTTCAATCGCTTCTGCTCCATGCCGTGCTTAAAGGAGCATCGTCTTCGCAACAAAGTTGCTACTTGATGGCATGTTTATCTTTAACACCACGATTGTCTTATAACTTTGCCAGCTAGCCTGATCTGTCCATTGTGTACAAATTGTGTTAGCTGTGTAATTTTTACGAGTTTAGATATAATTGTACAAGTCGATAAAATAACTTCGCAGAATAATCAAATCGGTAATATTGGTAATGAAATATATGCACTTCAAAGAATCCTGCAGAACAAGAATATCTTAATATATCATCACTTTCGTTTCCGTTGTTGTTTCTGACTGTGAAGGAAACTGAGATGCAGGTACTATTTCGGTTTTAAATGAAAAACTAATTGTAAGGGTCAAACAGCGTTCAAGTAACTCCGTGTTTCTTAAAAATTAAATACACTTTATATACTTTTCATGTTGATTACATTTTATATATAACTCTTTTTTTTTTGCATTATGTATTAAATGACATACCTACATAAAGAACTAACATTTTTACGCTAATGCTAAACGGGTAACTAAATTTCACACTCATATCCGCAGTATTACAGTCATACTGAGTTCACGATATCATAACATTGCGCTCATTATGCCTAGATGTTGTAATATCATAATGTGCAGAGAGAGAGAGAGAGAAACGAGTCTTTGGGAGTATGCATAATTCTGTAGGGAACACAAAGTTTCTTTTTCCTTTATATAAGATATTGTTTCGACTGGTGTTTATGAATTAAAACCGTGCCGATTTCCTGTAACTATCATTAACAGGTTTTTCAGACGGTGTCTGCATTTACACGCGAATCTCATCGATGACTAGTATCGAAAGAAAATGTTACTTTACTATCACGCATACTGCGCAATGACGGTAAATCAATCAGTCTGTGGTATACCATTTTTGTTCACGTTCATTTGCGTGCTGATACCAGGCCTGGATTAAGATGCTTCGTGGCCAATATCAGATTTTCGGGGGCCCCTTAGTTAAAAAGCAGGGGGGAGGGGGGTTTGTAATACAGCAGAGCCAAATACTTCAAATTTTAAATCTTCGAAAATTGAAATTTATTTTAAATAAAATTAAATAACATCTAATAACGAAATGGAAGGTTCAGAACGGGGCCCCCCTGGAGCGTGGGGCCCGGGGTTACAACCCCCCCTAGACCCCCCTTGATCCAGCGCTAGCTAAAAAACGACAATGAAACTAAATTCGAAGTTTCCGTTTTTGAACATTTCTAAAACTTTGTCTGACACGCGCACAGTAAATAGCGATGCGAATACAATCGAATATAATTCGAGTACTTACGCGATATCTTAGTTTAACTTTAATGAAAACAACGTTCCCTGGCTTGACTCGAATGGAAATAGTACACTGAGATCCAGATGTCGTCGTTATAAATCGTATATGTATAAAGAGAGATTTCTCTTTTTCTGTCTTTCGTCCGTTTCCATAAATCTCTAAGTCGACTATACTTCACGATATATACAACACATGTGAAAATATTTCGATTTGGTCTCTTCAAATCTTTGTTCTATCGCTCTTCAGGTCTGTTTTAGGCTAATCGAACGGTCTATTACGCGTGGTCCGTGGTTCTGCAACTATTATAATGAAAATATCAATTTTTTCTTTTTATAAAATTCATAGCGTTCGAGTAGGTTTAAGTACAGATTGTGAAAATTTTTCCTTCGGTGTATCCGTTGTTTCGCCAATTTCCGAATATCATGGGAGTCAGCCGCGTGGTTGGAAAGAATTTTTCAGTTTGTTTATCATAGCTTGGACCACAGCGAGGTTATAGGATTAGACATTTCATCAAATGTATTTTTTCGGCCTACTTTTCTGTCGCCGCATATCCATTTTAGTGTCACTACCTACTGCAGATTCACTGTTCTCATAGCGTAGAGCTCGCTAAAATCCACAGGCTTTTTAAGGTGTCGGTATTACAGTTTAAGTGAGCCACCTATAAGATGATAAGTCTATTCTTATACCTCGTCGGTGCTTGGACCATTCGGTCGACATCTTTCGATTTAAACGGACGTGGAATCGTCGGAGTCGGTGCCATCCGATTCATCGTCCCCGTATAATCCGCGAATATCTCCGTCGTTCCAATTGTTCTCCACCTTCACCTCGTACCTGTTCTCTCGTACAGCGTTGTCCGATGGTACGATCCTCACGTACGTGTTCTTCATGTTTTTCAAATCCGTCTGTACGGTCATGTTCCTTACCATTCTGTCGCCGCTGCTGGCCGACTTCGAGCGTATTTTCCCCGAGGTTTTTCCGTCCTCCACCGACTCCAACGAACTTTTCCTTCGACTGTTCTTTCTGTTAGCCTTCTCTTTGTTCAGGGTAGTTTTCCTTCCGACCTTCGGACTCTCGTTCTCCAAGTATTTCTTGATCCACTTCGGAGTCTCATTCGAGTAACAGGATTTCTTCGCGTATTTCGGACTGGCAAGTATCATGGGCACATCAGTCTCGATCACCGTCGTGATCACCTGCTCGTTCTCGTCGAAATTGCTCTCAAGATATTTCTTCTTCGGTATCGCGGACACGCTTATCTTACCTGCAAACGGCGAACACTCGTCAGTGGTCTCGTAAGTGTACGCGTAATGCTTCTGAATGTGTTTCGGTTCGTCGGTGATGTCCACGACCGTCTCCGAGTTCGACATTTCGTTCCTCCGGTTCTCCTCTTTCTCGTCTCTCCTGAATCGTTCAAGTGCCTCCTCGAACAGATGTTTCGGCGATTTTCGGCCAAAATCAAGAGGTTTGATCGGAGAGATGATGCTTTGCCTTAGGTTGCCCGTGATGCTGTGCCTTTGTCTTGTGGGCGGATCGAGTAGACGACGTAGGCTCGAGTTTCGTATCTCTGGCACCGACATCCTCTCCCTGGACTGTATCGGCGGTGGGACCGATGAAAATTTGTTGCTCTTCATAGACGTCGCCGAGTTGATTTTCTTGCTCAGAAGAAGAAGCTCGGATGACAAGAGCTGTCGTTCGGATGCCGGCAATATCGGAGTGGTGCTCGCCACTAGTACGCTCTCGAGGCCTTCTCTCGTCGGGCTTTTAAGTTTGCTCGCTGTGGGTATCCCGGTTATTTCATCGATCTTCGGCTGTTGATGTTCGCTGATCGGCGAACTCGCGATTGGCAGTAATTTCGATCTGGTCATGTCCTGGTTCCGAGTCAGCTGGCTGTCCAAGCTGAACCGTTGCTTCGGCGTACCGGCGATCAATCGAAGATCGTTCTGCGTCTCGAGTTCCGGGATGGAGAATCGGTCGCGGTTGAATTTGGTCGCGGAGGACTCCTTGAAGCTGCGGAATTTACCGCCGAAGTCTAGCTGCGATAGACGGTCCCTCTGGCTGGCGTGTATGGCCGGGGAGAATCTCTTGTGTTTGACGGGCGGCGGGGAGGGCGAATGGAATACCATCGTGGGCAGATTAACCTCTTTTCCGGAGCTCAGACATGGATGGGACAGTCTTTGTTGGCCACGACCTGGATGATAGTCACCGGTGACCAGTGTCGGTTGAGAGAGACGTTCGCGTTTACCCGTGGCGTCGTGTCGAAGGGTGAATCGTCGCACGTCTGGCTGGGAGAGTCTCGGGGAACTTTGATCCATCGTCAAGCTTCCCCTCGAGCTACCACCGAAGCCTTGCACGCTTCGCGCAGATAGCCTCTCCTCGTTGATGCTGTTGTCACCCGACGCTGCTCTGAGACTGGTGTAGGACAGCCTGGTGCCGCGGTTCACACCGGCGAAATTGATGCCGCTGAAGCTCGAGTTCAAAGTCGGTTGAGACATTCGAATGCGGCGATCCGATGAACCGCCACCGGCGGATCTTCTATCGTAGGATATCAACAGGGTCGGCAGATTCGGCTGGGAGTAACGGCTGCGTTGGCTGGCGGGCGAGTAACTCGGTGGACAGGGTGTAGTCGAGTGGGTACCCTCGTACGTCGCCGAGTCCTGTGACTCGATGCTGGATTGCGACTGAGGCGGCGGTTTCACCGGTGTGATGTGAAGATTCGGGTGCGAGAGCCGGTTCTTGCGACCCTGACTCGGTTTCTTCAAATGGTCGATCAGGTTTGGCTGCGAGAGGCGAATGTAAGGGGTAGGTGGGCGGTTCAGGTACCAGAGGTCCCGTCGGGAATACGGCTCGCATCAGAGGGTGCCCTCCTCTCTTAAACGACGTATGAAAACTGGTCGGACGTCCTCGAAGAACGAGGGTAGATCCAACTCCGCGGCCCGAGCGATACCGCCGTCTTTGCACTCCAGCCAGTAGGTATCCATCAAGCCTTTACCCTGACCGAGTAAATATCTTTAATATTCTTTCCCGTCCTCCCCTATTACTAACGACTGTCACCATATACTGTAGATAGGGTAGATTTTTTTTTGTTTACCTTGACGTCCACCAAACCACGATGCACGATCTTAAATCCTCCTACGGCGTCCAAAGCCTTCTTCATCTCCAGGCTGATATGGATTCGTAGAGCTACGGGCGGAACAAAGATCGATTAGAAGAGTACTCGCGATTCCGAGAACGAATAGTGAGAGTACAAAGAGATGGAGCACCTTCTCCGGTAGACTCCATGCGACTGGCCGTGTTCACGGTGTCCCCGAAGAGACAGTAACGGGGCATTTTGCTTCCGACGATTCCGGCGACAACCGGTCCCGTGTGTGCTCCGCTACGTATTTGAAGCCGTTCCCCGGGTCTCTTTGGTACTTGGAAGACCGACGATGCTGCAAGGAGGTCGAGCGCCATCGTCGCTATCTCAGAGACGTGTTTGTCACCTGGAATATTATACACGCATCGCTCTACACCCATTTAGGAACAATCCAAACACCGAAGAAGGTTTTACCATTCCTGACTGGCAAGCCAGAGGCGACCATGTACGAGTCGCCGATGGTCTCGACTTTGTACACGTCGTAGCATTCGATGCGGGCGTCGAAGAGCTTGTAGATCGAATTCAGGAACGTCACCACCTGTATGAAAGTGTACACACACACACACGTGATGATTTCATGTATGAACGGACGTATAGCTGCTTCAAAGATACAGCGTTAGCCATAAATCTGACCGATCCTAAAGTTTATGTTTCGGTAGCCTAATCCTGTCACTCGATACCCTTGAGTTTTAAAAACTGTGCTCGACCATCGTTCAGGGGCGTAAGACGTCAATTTCGGATCGGTTTTTCCATTTTAATGTAATTAAACAAGTTCTTATAGCGTACTAATTTCAGATTTAAAATACTTCCGGCCCTTTTATTCTTGATGAAAGCTTACGAAAACGTTTTCTTTCAAATCTTCCAGTCTTTTTGGTTTTATTCCTTGGCACCCCATAGCTGGAAATAACGTACGACCCTGAGTGCGTTGGGACACAATGGGCCCCCGATGATCGAGTACTAATGGTTATATTTTTGAAGCTGTTATACATATGTGGTTTCTTTTCGATTCTGTAACGAAATAGTTGTACTTCGAGGGGCGTGTTCTCGGCAGCGATCTCGGTGAATCCAACGATGTCGCTGAAGTAGACGGTTACCGCTTCGTAGAACTCGGCTGGCACCTGTGAAACGGGGAAAGACGAACATTTGCAGATCGTTGAACAAGCACAAATACAAATGGAATACTCGTCGAGGTATATACCTGTTGAGTTTGCTTCAATTGTTGCGCAACGCTGGGCGGCAACATTTGAAAAAGTAACGTGTCACTTTTTCCCTTTTCCTGTTTCAGTTCCCTTGCTTTCTGGGCCAAGTTCGCCGCGTACATCTACGAAAAGATCTATCGTGAACATCGAGATCGGCCGACAGGACGACGATAAACCTCTCTTCGGATACGACTAAGCGAATTATCGAATAGAAGAGGAACACGTATGCTCTAATTCGGACAATTATCCACGAGGCTTGTTTCACTTACCTGGATAGTAGCCACCGCGTTGCGTACCAATATTATAATAATAGGGGACACGACCAATACCAGGACAACTATCGCTATTCCAGCGACTTCTTTGTTGCTTGCGTCTTGCAATGTGGAGTTTATGGGGATCTCTGTGGCAGTTCCGTTACGAAAATTTACCTTATCATGTGACGTAATTCACGTTGTAGTTTCCGCAGCTCGTCCACGTAAGTGGCCATCGAATCGAAATAAGCTATCGCATCGTCCACGCTCGGTTCCCGTTTCTGATTCTTCAGGATCTCGTCCCTTCTACGGATGTGGAATAAATTTCGTTCAGACGGTAATATACATACGATTCGATTTCGATCGGTTCGGGACCGGGATTACAGGGTGTAACAAAAACGTTGGAGAACCCGGAAATGGGAGACTCATGGGGTGATTTAAAACAAGTTTTTCTTTAGCAAAAATATTATCCGAGGCTTTGTTAACGAGATATTAACGAAAAACTTCCGACCAATCAGAGCGCGAGTTTGCCAGCCGAGTTCCCGCGGTAATGTAGGCTACCAATCGCAACGCGTATACAACGTTACCGCGGGAACTCAGCTGGCAGACTCGCGCTCTGATTGATCGGGGTTTTTCGTTAATATCTCGTTAACAAAGCGTCAGAAAACATTTTTTCAAGGTCCTCCAACATTTTTGTTACACCCTGTATACGGTCGATAAAACTCAGTCGCGTTCCTCGCGTACCTAGACTTAATCCGGCCGTAATCGGGCATAGTGCGGGTAAGCTCCGCGTAAAAGTGTTTGAGGGAAGGCACGTATGTGAGGGACCCGGTGAGGAGATCACGTCCAAGAGCCTCGTGGCGTACGTAGCTGACGTAATTGTCCCCCACAAGGATTCCACGACCGAAGTAATTGATTCCGTACACGGAAGCAATACCGAGGCTCTCGATGCTCCGCAGCAAATTTTTAAACGCTATCAAATACCTGAAACGGAGATCGCATTGTCATCACGGGGAAAATTTCTGCACTGCTGTCTTGCAATTTATCACACGCTCGGTACTTGCATAGGGTAAATGTCCCGATTACTGCCAGTGTTCCTAATACTGTCACTTTATTTATTTCACGAAACGTATAAAGAATTGTGTGCGAAATATTTTATTATTAAAAGTTACGCCTTTAATCTTAAGGTGACAGTAATTGGGACGTCTATCCTACACGTCTCTTGCTTTTTCCTTGTTCAACGAGAGAAAACGAAATGTGTATCGAAGCGAAATGTTCCGATTCGAGAAGTTTCTTCCGTGGTGTAGTGTGCGATGGATAAATCTTTGCTTCATTCTTGGCTCGACGAACAGTGCAAGAACAGTTTTCTACCAAGGGGTTACCTCCAAACGCCGCTGTTGTCAGTTTCCTTGATCTGATTAGTCAAGTGGTCCAGCATCGCCGCGTTCACGCTCGTGTACCAGGCCATCACTTCGGTGATGCTGCTCTCCTCCGAGCTGATCTTCTGCCTGGAGAAACGAGAAAGAAACTTTGCACTCTTCGAGCCATAATAGACGGGATTCCCTGATGTTTGCACCGGAAGCCTTCGACTCCATTTCTCCATTAACTATTTCAGATTCAGTTACCCGTTGGAAATACTTTATTCGATCGATCGTCAGCAACACGAACACGAATGAAAAAAGGACGGACATGTTTTTTCATCCTTTCGGATTCGACTGCCCCTTAGGGCGATCGCACAAAAAAGAAAAAGGGTCTGTACGGGGGTTCGGGAGAAAGTTTAGCTAATCGTTTTATCGAACTAACTTTCAGACGGAGACCGACGATAGTTCGTAGAGCGACAAAGAGAGATCGAGCCGACGGTGGAGTCGGAGGGACGGAGACGGACAGAGGGGTCTAAAAATATTGTCTACTGCTCCAAATGGTCGGTCACGCGGTCATGTGTGACAACCGCATATCCATTGCTCGTAAAGGTGGTTCGACAGAGAAGCCTGTGGAGCGACAGAGAGAGAGAGAACAAAAAGCGGTACGATATCTTTGAGGGCATATTCCGTTGATACAAACAGGTACTCCTACAATCTGACACACCATCCACATAATCTAGCAAAACGACTGCTTGAAGAACCCACGGACAGACTGAAACGCTTCAAACCGCTGGACAATATGGGAAGAATTTCTACAGCGATTCATCAATTAATCAAAGACTTCCTTATTGTTATAATTTACCAGATGGCAACTGAACGTGGGAATTATTTTAAAAACAAAATATTTCGTTGAGGCTTCTCGTCAGAGATGAGCAAACTAATTATCTAGATAAAAAGTTTCGAATAACGAATAAAAGATAAGAAAAAAATGTTTCGTCATTTTTAATAGTTTAAACGTGGAAATTTCAATTTTTATAATAAAATAATACTTCTTTATGAATGGATCGACATTTGTTGAACAATTATTTAATTTTATTAACTGTTTAAAACTCGGAACGACACCCTTTTATACTACTGCTTTTCACGGTGTATTATTCGCATAAAATTCTGCCCAACTCTGCCTCTCGTACGTGTGCAACGCGTCCACGTTTTATGACACTGATCCCGCGCGTGGGATGGGAAGGGAACTCCCTCCGAAACTCTGCGAGGCAAGAAAAATGAGTACATACGAATACGCAGCAGCAGCGGAAGAACATTCGCGTTGCCCTCCTGTGGAGGAGCGTTATCGAGTCCAATCAACCAGGCCCACCCCATACCGAATACACGACACGATGTGTATCAATGGTTATCAGGATAAACAGTCGTATGCCAAATATTTTCATTTTGGATGTATTATCGTTTAAAGTTCCGAACGTCAATTTATCTTATTAGCAATGTCTGTTTGTGTTATTTTTACGATACTAATAGGCTTCACTTTGCATAATATTCTTTTGTGCATTGCGTTGATTTTTGTTTAAGTACAAGTTACATGTATAATTTTATGTATAAGTTTAATTCTAACAGTGCAAGAGATTGCGAACTCACGTTCTAGAAAAAAATTAATCATACAAGTGCCTGGTACTATTGTGAAATTAGCCAAACAACGCTATTCAATTCGGTAAATAGTAGAAAAAATAATAGTTTATTTATTGAATAATTATTGAAAAATAGTAACATTCTAATATCGATAGTGTTTGTGTCCAGACACTTATGGATGGTGTACCCTCGTGAGCAAACTCTGTTTCGGCTAGGGAAAGACCATCTATCACTTGGTCTCGTAGTTATTGAAATTTATGCGAAATTAACAATCGATTTAACATTTATTTCAGTACTTGAAATATATTTACCAAGTGGTAGGAGGCCTTTATCTTACGCCACTTTTTCCCCTACAGCAAGTCGAGTTTGCTCGCGGGTGTACATATAGTATACGTAATAGTTGCTTCGACTTCCGGTACTTCGTTTAATTGTCCTGTTGTACACCGTCGTTACGCGAAGTGCCCCACGTAAAACGAATCTCATTAGACCATTAATTGGCCGAAATGAAACGAGCCCGCGGTCATAGGGACTCGTTAGAACGTTGGAAAATAATCACGTATACGACCACGCTAATTAATTCAGTTACCGACCCCTGATCGATCGTATTCCAGAAGATTAATAGAACATCGGGAACCGAACGGTGCTGGTGGTGATGGCGTTATTTCATCCCCTACGAGGCCGAGTTAATACCCGTCTATCTCTTCGCAATCTTCCCCCCTCCCCTCGTTCGTCCATCCACTTTGTCAGCCAAGGATAATATCTCGAGGATCGAAGACGAAGAGAGGATTGTTAGCAGCTTGTTACCGGTGCCCCCGCTGACAGAAACACGTCCCATTCACTGACGTGTGCTGCCGTAATGGCCAACGTGAAAAAACTATCAGGCCAGCGTATCGTTCGATCGATGGAGAGAATTTCACTCCAGAGAAACTTCGGACGAGGTCCCTGTACTCTTCCGTTTCACATTTCAATTCTCGATTTTACCGATCAATTGCTTCGTGAAAACGGGGAGATTCGAATCGTCCATAAATGTTCTTAAACCCCCGTTCCCCAACGGTGGTCTTGATTATCACGTTCCAACACTGATTCACGTGGACGAGAATTTCGACGGGAGGATCCGGTCTGAATTATCCGTATGCATAGGTATGCCGATGCTTCGTCAGCGTGTGTATCGATTTATCGGGTATACGTGCTCCCGTGGCCAAGGTAGTAGCAAGCTGTTTTCAGTTCGACCAAATGAAAAACGTGCCTTCCGCAAATATTCCCGTTCAGGGGGCAACATTAATATTATTCCGTCGCGTTTTCCATCTCCTCCCCGACTGGCAAAACGTGAATCGGCATCCGAACTGTCGTCGATTTTCTTCCTTTTTTTTTTTTTTGTTTCACGCGTCGACGGAATTGGGTCGCGTACGGGCTTCCGTTTCGTGTTTGCTCCAGCTCGGGGATGCAATCGAATGATTTTCGACAGGTGACCACAACTACCACCACCACCATCACAACGTCGTTCACACGTTTTTATTTTCCTATCTCTTCTCTCGTTGCATCGCGTCGTGTTATCGATCTCGGGGATACCGGGCCCCGGTGACGTATTTTTATAATCGATCGATATCGCGAGAAGACGAATACGGCGCTATTATAAAAGCACGCATCGCTTCGACGCCCGTGTATATGTATATGTATTATATGAATGTAACGCGTGTATAACCAACTGCCGCCGCGTCTTTTGGTTGTTTACTTCGTAATTAGCAATAATTAGATTCGTGACATCAGTTACCCTGAGGCACGTGTTACACCGGAATGTTCCCCGATATACAGGGTGTCTGAAAATAAGTGGAAGTCCTTAAAAGGGGTGGTTTCTGGGGTGATTTGAAACAACCTTTTCCTTACCGAAAATGTTCTCCGAAGCTTTGTTAACGAGATATTAACGAAAGAACCCCGACCAATCGGAGCCCTGGTCTGTCCACCGAGTTCCCGCCGGAGACCTGCGCTCCGATTGGTCAGGGGTTCTTTCGTTAATATCTCGTTAACAAAGCGTCGGAGAACTTTTTCGCTAAGGAAAAAGTTGTTTCAAATCACCCCAGAAACCACGCCTTTCAAGGACTTACAAACTATTTTGGGACACCCTGTAGAGACCTATTCGACGTGGGCACTCGCGCGTTTTTTTTCTCACTCTCTTTGTGCTTTTTTCCTGTGTTTTATTTCTGTGTAAACACGCGATATTAACGACGATATTGCCGTCCCTTTTGACGCACCTCGACCGTGTTATAGTTTTCGCTGTGGGCGACTAGCTTTCGGCTTTAAGAAGGTTCACGAGGATTTTCCATCGATCGTGAATTAGGATAGACCAGGCGATCGTTTAATAAGTAGGACAATTTCACGTAAAAAAATAAGAGGATTTTATGTTCTCAGATCGTTCGGTTCGGCAAACAAAGGAGTCGATTGCAAGAAGGAGACCTCGTCCATGTTAATCGAAGGGGAAAAAAGCTCGCGGAAAAGAAGAATTCCTCTCGCCTCGAGGCTGAATGGAAATTCAACAAGTGTCGGAACGAGGCCTCGAGGGCTCGAGGGAATAGAGGCCGCGACCGTAACTTTCCGTGCCGACGTTCCTCCGACTGTAGGGTGGCGTTACAATTACTCGGCCGCGTAAACATACCGCGTTTCCGATATTTTTCCAACCGAACCCTCGTGCCTTCGTTCCTTTTCTTCGAACTAATGTGTGCTCCGATAATTCGAGCTAATAGCGGCGAGACTCGTGTCTCGTTGCACGTTCGATGAATCGTATACAAAATTTTCGCATGCTCGAAGCTAAAAACAAAAAGGAAATAAAAATGAAAAATAAGAAAAATTCGTAGATCGTGTGCGTTACGAAAGTTTCACAGGGCGATCAAAGTGGAAACCGTCAGTCACATGAGGCATACTCTGACGTCATTAACGTGTGAACCACGTGGAGTCTGTGTGGTATCCCCCTGGGGCTTAAAGAGGGGAACCCCGAGTGTGTATTCGTCGATCGATTCGTTACCTGAAATCCTCGAGGCGTGCTTGGAAGGCCTCTTTGCTGACCACGTCATAGGTTTGCGTCTTGCTCTCGTCCCTCGGCACAGAGACCAGGGGCCACGTAGTCATGTTGTGAAGAGCCTGATCGGTTATGGCGAACCTCTGCGTCAAGTTCGACCTTCAACGGAGTGCAAGAGACCATGGGATAATTAGTTCCGCGTCGATAAATTGGTAGAGGAGACACTACTTATTTGGTCGTTTTTTTTTTCGCCTCTCTGTGTTCAGAAATGACGCATTCATCCGAGGCCGGCCGGAGGATTTTTACCCCTTTGCACTCCTAATTCTTTTCTATGTTTGTTTCCAGTAACTCCTTGGTATTTTAGGTGTCTCATTTTAAATGTACTTATGTAATTACAAAAGACAGTTAGTTGATAGGAAACAATTTAAATAAATTTCTTTTTTTACTAATTATATTGATGATACCATTGGAACTTTGCTAAAAATGTCGAGTGTCACACTCGACAAAGGAGTTCAAAGGGTTAAAGGGATCTGTTTCTCGATCGAAATTTCACCGATGTTCCGTAAAAAGCGTTCGAATCACGGGTCCGTACGGTGGACCGTGTCGTAAATGGAAAGAAATGGTCGGACGCGTCGCGTTTCGTTGATTTCACGAGGGCGTCAGACGATTGTTGTATTCGTAAGGATTTTCGTGAGGATCGCTGGTCCAATTGAATCGAGAGATCCGATCTCGTATTCCGCGAGGCGACCCTTTCCCTGAAATACTAGTAGGGAGAGGAAGTGTATTGGGGTTCGAGCGCGGTTTGATTAGAGAAACGGTTTCCCCTCCCTAGGCGACGCCCATTTGTTTTCATTGTCTTAGAACACGGTAAAGGGTTCTTTTTCTGTTTCAAATAATGCCGTCGTCGCCTAGTCACGTGTAGGTATATACAGGATGTCCCGAAATAGTTGATCCTTGAAGCTGGTGATTCCTAAGGTGATTTGAAACAACTTTTTCCTTAGCGAAAAAATTCTCCGAGGCTTTGTTAACGAGATATTAACAAAAAAAGCCCTACCAATCGCGCGTGTCTGCCTGCCGAGCGCCCGCAGTAGCGTTGGCTACGCGCTGCGATTGGTAGGCAACGCTACTGCGGGCGCTCGACGGGCAGACACGTGCTCTGATTGGTCGGGGTTTTTCGTTAATATCTCGTTAACAAAGTTTCGAAGAACTTTTTCGCTAAGGAAAAAGTTGTTTCAAATCACTCCAGGAATCATCAACTTCAAGGACTTACAATTATTTCGGGACACCCTGTATACACCTAGAGAAATCAAGTGATATTCAATCGTCTCGAGAGAACAGTGTAAAATGAACTCGACAATGGGCGGGGAGAAGATCTTACGTATTCGTGGGGGCGAAACGACTAAAGCGAAGCTGCGTGTTCGATGGATACCTGAGGGTGTTGCCGTTGGTGTAAATAAAGAACGCGACCTCGGATCGTTCGAGTTGCATCCGCGTGACCACCTTCCCCAAGTCCGTGGCGATTGTCACCTGGAAACAAGATGATAAAGACGCTGAAATCAATATCAGACGAGTAGACTACGCGACACGATGCATATTAATATCACAGATTTCCTCGTTTCGCGATGGAAACATCCTCCGTTACGCTACAACACACGATAGGTAGTGTTTCTGGACACAGCATGGACCGAGGGGCTTTGCACAGTTAATGGACAAGACCGTTGTCCTCGAGACCCATGAAACTCCCGAGGGGCGATGGAACTAATCTTAAGGGACGAAAGGACAGAGAGTAGACAGGATAGAGTGGACGTGCGAACGCTTCCTGGATATATAACCGTCGAGCGGTCACTCCAACTTCCGAGTAAGTACTTAAATGGCCGTCCATTAGGTGTACTCGTGATGCTTTTGCGTTTCATCCTCGTGGAGTATTCCGATAATTATAGATTATCCCGCGCGACAGCACACGGGACAAGAATGTACTGTTCCCTTTATTCTGTTCTTTTTATATACGTTTCATGTGAGTTTGGAGCAACAGTGTCCAATGGTGTAAATAACGAGACGAAGCAGATGCATTCACGAGTGGTAAGAATAATTCAGATAAAATTGTCTCTCACTATACCGTGTATAACTACTACCAATAATAATTTTTCGATAATGTTCATACCGATCCAGGGTCCACTAGGAGTCGGAAACATCGAGTTAAGGTAACTCACGCGTTTGATGTCGTATCCAGCTGGATACACCACTTTAATTGAAATGATTAATATTTTAAAGTACATCAAAATTCTGAAATGAAAGAAAAATTTATTTCCCTTTAATTTTTAAGAAAAAATGGGAAAGTTCGTCGAACAAACCAAAGGAAAACAAGTGACGTTGACCCTCATAGCAGCATGCGTAGAAGATACATTTTTATAACGTTTCTTTTTCAATAATTTCATCGTTGACCTTGCGATTTTTTTATAGCAATCGACAGTTGAAGCTTTTAAGAATGTCCTCTTAAATTTTCAACGAAATCTGTAACTATTAAAAATTTGCGTGAGCCACCTAAAACGGCGTCATTTTCGTGCGTCTGCCCTGGTGCACGCTTCATCTACTGGAACGGAATTAATCGCGACAGAAGATGTTCCACGAGGGCGTACTAATGGGTACGGACTTCCGTCGCGATTGCTCGCATCATCTATTAAGCCATGTGAAATTTTTCAGAGTCTGACGACTATGAAAACAAAACCGACAAAATTCCCGTAACTGTTTGTTCATCCCTACGGGGCTTGTATCGTGATCGATTCGATTTCGAGGAATCTCAATGTCTTATTTTTCTCCTCGATTTTAATTGCAAAGGGCGTGGCGGAATATCAACGTGATTGGGTGGAAAACTCTCGACGTATTTACCATTGACGGGAAACACCGAGGACGAGGCGACTCGAGACGAGACGAGATGAAATGAGATGAAGACGAGGACGGGGGAATGCGAAGCGTCCATTATTTTCATGAGTCCATTCTTCGTCAAACAAGTAACCCGAGAACGAACAGGCTCTAGGTACTTACTCGTGGCTACTCTCCCCGTTTCGATGAATTTCGATCTCGTCTATTCGGAGCAGCTATTTCGAGGCAACAGGTTCGTCCAATCGCGAACCACTTCGATCCGCCATGGAAATTTTTTCGACCACGAACAAATGGGGAATTAAGGGACGTTAATTCTGTTTGCCCAGTAATTCCCGCACACTTAAGCGACGATCGGCCCTTTGTTGACAGAACGTTAAGTTTCGACGACGACGAGAACGAGGACATAAGCTCGATGTCGATTCTCCAAGTCCAGTCCGACACCAGGCATTGTCCGTTCAGGCTTTGTCAAAAACCAAGCGTTGGCTATTAGCCAGTTTCAGGCGTTGGTTAGCTTATCAGGGCCGTCATAAGCAAGGTTACCAGAAGAATCCCTTACGGCGGAAAAAAAGTGACGTTTCCTTTTCGTTTTCGAGAAAATTAAATTATAAATTCTCCAAAATATTTATAAGCAAATTTGTTTACAACACAGAACAGATGTTTAATAACCTTTTTCTTTTTAATGTAACAACTAATGGATAAAACAAACACATGTAACCTCACAAACCTGGTAAATGCATAAATCGTCATACATGTAATTTTAGGATAATTCCGTAAATTTATGTAATCTAGAAGTACGATTTAAACAGTTTACGGTGCCCTTCTAGGCACCCTCACAGCTCTATGAATGCTTGAATTTAATTGGTAGAACATTTCTTCTGTTTGTGGCCAACGCCTGAACCAATCCAGTCCCAAGTGGAGCTTAATGCACGGTGTCGAACTGTATAACTAAAGTAAGAAACTGTATTTAGTTTTATTCTGTTTCTCCGAGAAAAGACTCGTGTTCCGTTAACCTCTTCGGTTGATTGCAACATATCGTTGTTTTCGAGGTTAGATCATTCCCCAGGAACAATACGATTTCGCGCGAAGAACCATCGTGAAGAACTCGACGCGAAGTGAAACAATACCAAGCCGCCTTTGTCGATGACCAATGTATTGTAGAACGATAGAATTGGTTATTGCCCGAGTATTTGCATCGCGATAGGAAATATCGTGGTCGATCGATGAAAACGTGTCGAACGGGGAATCGAACACGGATCGGCTACACGTGCAACGGCATTAATAACGATGCAAACAATCGAATGTTTCTCTTTTGTCGCGTAGCAATTGTTCAGCCGCCTACTGTTTCTTGTTTGCTTTTTTTTGTTTTCCAACTTCGACTTATTACCCTTTCGATGTGAACCATCGGATAGGTCGTCGACAAAACTCGACAGTCCATTTTAATTCCCCACGAGGAGAGACGACACACTCTTTCGAAATACGTTCTCCCATCGAACGGTCGCCACTCTCGTATACTGCGAGATAACACGATACCTCCTCGAAACGCTGGTTTCAGCGTGGAAATATTTGTTTGCACACACACGCACACACACACACAGTGTTTTCATTTATCCCACGCGATTCCGGTGGAGAGCATCGATTGTAAAACAATCCAGAAAACAGTAATAATAACGGAGAGGAATAAGTGAACATGTACACGAAGAATTCGAATGTAAATAGATAGAAAGCTGAGTTTGGTATCGAGTTCGCCCCAGGATCACAATAAAGATTGTACGTGTTCGTAGGCTAGAGAAAGCGAGTGCCATCCATTAAAGAAGGTATCGAAGTGGAAAATGAAGAACCGAGGTCGGCCAGAAAAGGGCTCCGTCGTTTGATTCAAATTTATCGATAATTTTCATCTACACCGTGCTCGCTTGGGTGAGAGGCGTACCCGCCCTGAAAAGGGAGTAATATCCCGAATAAATTGCCGCCACCAGGGGGAAGTAATGAAACACGCCGCGATGAGAATGAAACCGGTGACCGCGTTAAAAACATCTGTTGCAAGTTGTCGCGTGCATTTCTGCCACTCGTTATTTACGTTGAGTGTACAATTACGCCCCAGAACTGGAATTACCGTTCGTTGCTTCGTGTTCGTATTAGAATTTCCATCGAGACAATGGGAATGTTCCGATCGTAGACGGTTTCGAGATAACCTGTCTGGCTGAAATTCATCGGCGTTCTTACGATACGGACTAATTTAACAGGAAAATTGCTAGATGTAACGGTTAAGAATCTCCCTTCTAGCGTGATGTGCGGGGGATACGCACCCACGATTTAGGTATCCAATTTAACAAACTGCAATTCCGTTCCCCGGTTATCGTCGTCGAGGGGGAGGGGGGGGGGGTCGCGCGTTAAAAATCATAGAGGGAGCCTCGTCGATTCGTTATCGTTGATCTATGCTATGCCGTGTGTGCAGAAACAATCGAAGAAATGGTCAGCCTCGCGAACAAACGGTGGCCGCTCGATCGGGGACGGCTTCGTAGGCGTGGTGAATGTTTACTCGTTCCTTCGTTACTTTTACACAGTTTCGTCGATCGATTTACCACTGAATTATACGGTCCGACCTAATTACACGGCTCGTGTAATTACGCCATCGTTTGCGAAAGGATCTAGCGGGTCGACAGGCGTTTGACAGGCAGGACGATCTTGTTGGATGGAGGGCAAGGGTTCGAAATACTGTTTCGTAAGTGGTTTTGGTTTTCTTGTCGTGGCAGGAATTTTCATTTGAAGAGTATAAATTTCTAGAAAACTTGGAAACTTGGGAACCTGAAAACCTGGAAACCTAGGATCGAGATTTTCCGTTACCTGTGACTCGATGTCGGAGACCTCCTGCCGATAGATCAGAATATCGTGGAGGGTGTTGGCCGTCTGCACTATCAACGCCAAGATCGGTATGAACGGCAGCACCAGCATCTGCAGCAATTGAATCCGACGTCCGCGTCGATGAGCCGGATCGGTGGCTCTTGCCCAACAGGACTTGTGTCGGTGGGCTTTCGTCGCCGAGACATCGTCCGACGACAGACTCCTCACCGAGCTCACTTCCGCCACGCACGAGCCATTACGCGGTGACATGCTGAAATAATTTCACAGTTTCATGTAACTAACATTAGATAAATGCAACTGTCGTTGAGTACCGGTCGGATGCTGCGCAGCATTGCGAAACGACACGGTTGGTTCGTGTGCAGGCGTTGTATGCGTGACACAAGCTTGGCAAGTATTGTAATTAAATTATGCAAGCTATTTTACACTTAATTATATCATCGGGGGGTGGACTATTTACGGTCGACTGCAAAAGCATTCTTTAGCCCGCTGAAAGTTAGAACGGTTCACGTATAGTTCGGGAACTGAAGGCCATGTATCTATCGCACGGCGGACGATTAAACAAGGGAATTTAATGTTTAGCAAAATGTCATATGTGCTTGTGTTTGTCGATAAACTTTGACATTTCGATTGGGGGACATTATTTGAAGTCATCGATTCCCTTCTCGGTTCGCTTGTCCTTTTACTGGATTTATTTCGTATAAGGAAGCAGGTGACTCCAGGTGTTTGCTATGTTACGGTGTAAATTCAATGATAGATGAAAGGCACTGGATACCTCTGCGTAATTCGTGTCATTGATAGACGTATTGCCTACATTCTGCTCCCCGTGAAAGAAAATCACGCTCAACAGGTTGAATAGCATCTCTGATTGTAAAAAGTACGTGTTTCAGAGGCGAATTAGTAGGCCCGTGTCCCCCACACCTTTTCGCTCGTAATTCACAAGAACCTCTTCTTATATCCTCCATTACGAACAGCGACCAAATCAACTGTCTAGATCTTATGGAAACTGTTTGATGCCATAGATAAGTTTGCGTGAAAATCTCACTCTCTTCTTTTTTGTCTCTACAGGCTACAGTGTGTTTTACCGACCAATTAATCGGTAGAATCGGAAGACAAGCTGCGACGTTAAACTTCCGGGGGAAGGAGAGACATTTGTCGCATCTGGCTTCCCCCGTGAACCAGAGCGGCGAATAAAGTGGCATTCGGTGGCGTGCGTTATCGTTCCCCGTGTAGGAGGCAACGAAGTTTCCAGCGTGGCCCAGGACCAAACAATAACCCAACCCTCCACGTATTTTCTTCTGGCCGACTTGCAGAACAGGGAAACAAAGTACCAACCGTGAAATCCGGTTTTCCCTTCCCCTCCTTACGATGAAGGAAACTTCTCCGCCCGACGTTATTGTATCCACGCCGCGTTTACTCTAATTTCCCGTAACAACGATGCGACAACGATCGTCAAGATCCGGATCGAGTAAACTTGCCTCGTGCTGCTTTCACCCAAACGGGGATGGACTCGCCGAGAAAGTCGGAAAAATCGACGGAAGTTTCGTTTTATTGCCAGCATTCTTCTGCTCCATTACGAGAAGGGCGACGAAGCGATGTTGGCAACTTTCTTGATCCGATTTGACAACTGTCCCTAATGGAAATGGAGTAAAGCAAGGACGGACAAGATGCGTTTGCAACGAACACACCGACGAAACCAGCCCTTGGACACACACACACACTTTGTGTTAATGTGAGTGGACACAAGGATTGACACACGATGCCAAAAAATGTTGTATTTATGTCATTTCTTTTAGAGTTATCAAGGTCACCTTCGTTTTTTAAAACAGAACACCTTTTTTTCCGTGACCTTGAATGACCTTGAATAATTATAGTCACTGAATTCCTAATGCAAGGGACTATCATTGTAGGTATTTAAATGAGGGTGATTCCATTTTAAAAAAAGTAGGTGACCTTGATAGAGAGATGGGATGAAACAAGTTACAGACTCCTCTCGATTATCGTCTGGCTTATCCTACACGATTATTGTCCCGGCGCAGACTTCAGTTCGGGACGATAATCAAGAGGAGTCTGTAATTCTTTTCAAGCGTGAAATGGCCATATTCCGTTACTACCCTAAGATGGACCAAAGGGTGGTTATCGTCGGTCCAGCCATCGGAGTAACACGACGCGAGCCGAGAGCACGCGGCAATTAATGAACCACAGGAAGCCGCGGTGCAACTTGTCTCTCTGCTGTTCCATACTTGCGGTAAGAGCCGACGCGCCATTAGATTACGCGTCGGCACTGTATTGGTTTATTGCCGTGTCGTTGCACGCAACATACAGGGTGTCCCCGCGAATACTATACAGTTCGTCTTTTCTTCAACCATTTGAAATACGAGAAAACTGTTGAGACAAAATTGAATGGCACTAGGCGGTTAATTAACGGGCTATAGTTAATTTTCGTTTAACATTATTATTTTAAGAGATATGAAGGTCGACTTTGGTATTGTTTAATGGAATTACATATATTTAAAATAATATGTTTAAAAAAATCCACTATAGCCCGTTAATTAGCCCCCTCCTGCCATTCAATTTTATGCAAACAATTTTCTCGTATTTCAA